ATTGTACTTCGTTCAGTTGTATTGCTCAACTGAAGTAACCTTGTATGACGTAACTCAGCCAAATCAACTCGGATCAACATAATCCAATCATGGAAATGAATGTCTGAAGCAGGGCATCGTTCACTGTCATAGAATGGGCAACATTGCCGATTGTGAGGAAATGGCTGTTAATGCCAATGTATGGGATATTGTCAATAGTATACAGTATCATTCTTCCATTCTTCTAGTCATGCAAAGTAGCTGAGTTACACAAAGAGGTCCCTCTGCGTCTTTTGCTCTGCCCCAGGGTCAGCGACTTGACGCCGAACGAAGACCACTCTTCATATAGCATCATGCTTACAGCATGGTAAAAACATAAAGACGCCTGTATCTCCAAACTTTACAATCAAACGTGGGGTTTTGAATAGAGCAATGTGCTCGGCTTGGCCAACTGCACCTTGGGTACCAGTTTCACGATCAAGCTTGCCAATCCCAGATTTCGCAATGTCACTACCAGCCAAACTGGATCCAGGGGTCGACCTCTTCGACGACGACGACCAAAAAATATTTTTTGGACTGTTTGCGACATTGAACGTAAAACTTTCACACAAGGTGCTGTTGGCCAAGCCGAGCCCATTGCTGTAATAAAAACCCCACGTTTCATTGTAAAGTCTGGAGATACAGGCGTCTTTATGTTTTACCTATGCTGTAAGCGTGATGCTATATGGAAAGTGGTCTTTGTTCATTGTCAAGCGGATAGACCCTGAGAGAGTAAAAGATGTAGCGGGGCGTGTTTGTGTAACACAGCTATCTTGCATGACTGGAAGGTTTGATGGATTATACTTTATGGCTATCCACAATAGTCTATATATTGCACGCTATCAGCCATTTCCTCACAATCAGCGTTGTTGCAAAATCCATTGCGTGTGAAAGATTCTCCTGCTCCAGCCCATCATTTCCATCATTCAAGTTTCTTGATCCGAGCTGATTTGACTGAGCTACGCCCAAACAGAGAATGTGTCAATTCTTGAAAGACAGACCCTGCGAATGTCTCCGCCTTTCAAACTTTTGGACGCTCTCGTTCCAAATTTTCAAATGAAGCGTGAGGTTTTTATTTGAAAAAAGTGGATCAGCATGCTGGGAGCACCATCCTGACCAATTTTCAAGTTGGAAGTGGGCAACTTCGGGGCGGTAGGCCGTCCGCTCTTTTGTCCCGTCATCCACCATTTGGGCCGCCCCGCATTTTAGATCTTCACAATGAAGTCTGCGGCTTTTAAATGAATGATGTTGACCAGCATGTCCAAGAGCACCTTGTGTGATAGTTTCAGGTTCGAGAGGGGAAATCTCAATATCAAGGATTGATGTACAGTGTACATGGATTTGAAGGGCAGCGTCTTGCCTATTTAATTTCCACCTCTTCCACTCCCAGCTTGGTGCCGTTCCTCCCATTCTCAACTGTTGCCCCATTCAAGCACAACTACCACCTACGAACGATTGTCCTGCTTCAACCCATCATGTCAATCCTACAACTGTCTTGATCGGATTGCCTTGGACTGAATGGCAAGTCCATGGCGTGTGCATCCCACTACAACACACGAGTCTCTTGACACCACACCTTCTCTTGTACACTCCTCTACCACGATCAAACGCAACAGCATTCATTTGCAGCAGCTACCATTAGCAAGGCCTTTACTCCATTGACTCAAACAGTGTTCTATCCTTGCAGCAACTTGCGTTACAGCCTTCGTTACGTGGACAGCAGATAGCCATTGTATAGAAGCAGCTTTATTTACATGTAGCAACTTACTTCAATACAAACGGATCCCCATGGGTGATGCCGTATCAACCATCAACTACTACTACTACTGCACAATGCAAGCATTCTTCATCTGGTTGAGCTGCAATAGAAGATGACCAAGCAAGTGATTGGCCAACGAACCTGATGCAAAAGGAAGCGACTCCAGGGGGCTCTTTCTATCAACATGTTGGACTTGCAATGGTTATGGATGGATGGATGCAATCAAGCACATCGATAGGTGATGTTGAAATGTCGTTTTGGTTACTTGGCACGTCGTCAGCAGGAAGGATGGATCATGCTACGTGTATACGGCTGAGGATGATGGTGGGATGGATGGCATGGATGAGAGGGCTTATATCTTTAACGAAAGGCGGTTTGTTGCCATGGATGACATTGGACATTGGAGTCACGGCACGCACAGCAACTAGTTTGCAATCATGGATGAAGATGCTTATGACGGCAGCAAACAAGGACACAAGGACACAATGGCCATTTGACTGGTTGGTTTCTGGAATGAAAGGGAGGATAGAAACTTGAAGGTTGGAAAGCGAGATTGGATCATTTACATCATTGTATTGAGACGCTTTTGTAGCTTTTATTACCCCCCATTCGTTAAAGCTCCCTTGTTCATATACTGGTAGACGATAGGCAGTGGCAACCCCTACAGCAACATTGTACATAGGTTTAAATACATCGACGCTTTACTTTCAAAGATAATAAACCGTAGCAATGATACACAGCAATTGTGTTTGTTACAGCAACTTAGTCCTATGTATGTATGAAACGTCGGTATTATACTAGTAGTCGCTTACTGAAAATATGGATAAAGTAAAGGGTTGCTGTAATGATGAATGCAACGTGATTGCGGAAGCATGTAAGCTTATTGTAAGATCATTACGCCATAGGTAGTGTTGAGCCGTTCAGCGAGAAATGAAAAGTTTATGAGTGAAGCGAACAACCCGGGCCGCTAGTTCCCTTCTCTACCATAATAAAAAGGAAAGTTCATTTGCTACCACACACGAAATGACACCAGCGGGGTCATCGCGGGAAATGCTTGCATAATCTCCTTGGAACGTGGTAATGTGATTCAAACCCATCCTATGCTGCATCGAGTTTTTATACTGCACGACTGCATATGCTCGCGTGAGAAAAGTAGATGCTGCATAACAACCACTTTCTTTGTGTGCAGCCACATAAATAGACATTCGACCCATCTTAGATTCCATTTCTTTGTCTTTCTCTTTTTTCTTGACGAAACGAAAAAACAACAACAGCATGACAAAATCACTCGATGGCAAGGTTGCAGTTTTAACAGGTGCCAGTCGTACTATTGGCAAGGCTGTAGCTGTTGAGCTAGTACGACTCGGTGCAAAGGTGGTTATTGGTGATGTCCTTGATGCTCAAGGTGAAGAGACCGTGCGTGAGTTAAATGACGCGTGAGTATTACCTTCACCATTTTGCATCACCACCTCTATACTCATACTTCTATAATCCACAAAGGGCTGGGAGCAAAGTAGCAGTGTATTTACACGTTGATGTCACCAAGTACGATGCCAACATCGCCCTTTTCCGCCTTGCTGAAAAAGAGTTTGGTGGTGTGGATATTGCGTTCCTGAATGCAGGTATCGGTTCCAACGCTAATGCCATGTTTCTCCCTCTCGATGGCAAGTATTCTTTCATCCTCCTACTTTACAACATGGTGGACTTACCAAACATGATTTTGCAGATGAAACCGATGATCGCATGTTGAATGTTAACACCATGGGAGTGATCAAAGGCACCAAAGTAGCCATGTTGCATATGGCTAAACGTGGCGGAGGGGTTATTATCAACACTGCATCCATGGCTGGCATGGTTTGTTTACCGTATGTGTCACACACCATGCATGCGATCATGAACGTACGAACGCCATCATCTAACTTTGCCTAGATCAATGAGCATTTACAATGCATCGAAACATGGTGTTGTGGGGTGGACTCGTTCATGTGGTATTTATAAGGATGTATGCAATGTGCGCGTAAATGCTAGTAAGTAAACAAGCCAACGATCTTATACCGTGGTAATAACACATCAACTCGCTTGCGCATATAGTTTGTCCCACATGGATCCGTACGTAGCAGTACTTGCCTTTGGCAAAATGGAAACGAGGGACTAACCAGGATTGATCATAGAAACCGAGCTTGCTGAAGACTTGGCAAATAAGAAAAACAATGACCCATGTCAAATCATCAATGAATCATCACCTTTCGCGACAAAGGAAGACGTTGTCAAAGCCTTCATGACCTTGGTTGAGGATGAGGAGCGCACGGGTATGTACAAATCTATCAGCGCATGGATCCCGTATTTTGACTCTTTATTTTTTTGCATGCTTTTTTGTAAAGGTCAAACATTGATGGTCCTTTCCAACCATGTTATTGAACCTGCTGAACCCCCTACATTTGGTACGTATGATGCATACATGTATTGCAGCCAGCATTCTCACCCGATCTCTATTGGCATATCATATAGGAGCGCTCAAGAAAAATGCTTCACAAGAGGTCCGTCAGCAATACCTCCAGGAAGCGATTGTGAGCTACAAGAAGCAATTGGCAGAAGCACGTGAACGATATGGCATTTGATATGAATAAACCATTCAAGTTGTGATTCATATGACTTGTATTCATGTATTGAGCAACAACAAAGATCTAAGATTGTTTTTGTGTCTAAAGCTTGGATTTGGTATCTGCTTTGCTCATCCATCCGAATTCCTAATCACAAATACCCACATTCAGTATCCAGGTTGATAGATTCACATCATTTCTACTCACCAACTTTGTTCGACCTCCTGGAGCAATCATGACATTGATCACGCAAGCGTTATCCTTCACAGCCATGGCTTCCTTCAATGCTTTGGCCAGCTCGACTCGATTTTTCACCAACCATCCCTTGCCACCAAATGCAACCGACAGCTGATCATAACGTGTATCTGGTAATAAGGCCGTTGAGGGGAGATTGCCGTCACGTCGAGATTGCTCAAAGTCGTCAGCATCCAAGCCGTGGTAGATACCATTGTTGTTGATCACGAGGATAATCATAGGGAGCTTAGAGCGCACAGCCGTCTCAAGTTCCATAGCACTAGCAAGGAGACTCATAAGCGTCGCTATTTTGAGAGACCCTCCATAAATGACATTTACCTGAATCCAAAAGCTGAATCACCCACAATGGACACCACGCGCTTGTTTGGATAATAAGCTTGAGCTATGACCCATCATCATCAGCTCTCTCCGTAAACGATAAACATCTCCTTTTTATCTTACCTGCAATTGCGTATCCCATGCCTACACCCATTGTTGCAAAGGTACCAGCATCCAATCGACGACGAGGTTCATGCACATCAAAGAACGAACGGGCAATGTCCATCGTATTAGCACCTTCACTGATATACACCACGTCATCCTCAGGCAAGATATCCTTGATAACGGTGTATGCTGTTTTATAGTTGAGGACGGCCGTATCCGATCCTTGTTGCCGAGCAGCGAGTGATTTCTCGACATTTTGCTTGACCTTGTTCTTCAAATCCGAAACGTATTGGTTGGTGCTGGGTAATCGGGGAAGTGGGTGGCGTGCTAGTAGCTGAGCAACGGTTGCTTGGATATCACCAGCCAATGGCAATGTGTGTGCAGCGTTGTTTCCAATTTCCTCAGGCATGACATCCACTTGAATAAACTTCACACCATTTGTCCAACGTGGCGAATGACCATAATGAAGGATCCAATTAAGACGTGCACCAAGAAGTAAAACGACATCGGCATTCTTGAGAGCCTTGGATCTTGCAGCTGATACACATAATGGATGCGTGTCGGATACAACACCTTTGCCCATAGGCGTTGGCAAGAATGGGATTTGTGTACGTTCAACAAGTTGACGGATTTCAGATTCTGCACGAGCATAAGCAGCACTAGATTGTTGTTGTTAGCCATGTGATACTCAATTCCGTTAAGCCGGTCTGACATTTACCCTTTACCCACAACGATCAATGGGCTTTTTGCTTGACGTAACCATTGAGCTGCTTGTTGGAGGCTTGTATCATCAGCTACTGAACGAGGTGCTATGGATGGAATGGCGGGTACGCTTTGCACGAGAGTGTTCATTTTGTTGGCATCTTGAATTGGATATTGGATGAAATCCGCTGGCAAGTCAACATAGGTAGCACCAGGACGACCATAAAAAGCTGTACGCAATGCCTTTTCAATTGTGGTAGGGATCTTATCCACTGACATGGGACGTGCTGCGTACTTGCAATAAGGACGACATGCTTCCACTTGATCGAGTTCTTGAAAAGCGCCCATATCCACTTGATCGGTATCAGAAGAACCAGCTAATAGCACCATCGGCCAACAGTTGACCTTGGCATTGGCTAAACCGGCAAGTGCATGGATGACACCGGGGCCACCTACAGTCAAGCATACACCAGGCTGACCACTCAAATACCCATAGGCTGATGCTGCATAGGCTGCTGACTGCTCGTTGCGGAAAGCGAGAAACCGAATACCAGCTGCTATGCAAGCTTCGGCTACTTCAATGACAGGAATGCCGACAATGCCAAAGATCACCTTGACACCTTGATGTTTGAGTGTTGTGGCAATGAGTTCTGCACCTGAGGATGCTGGTTTGGTGTTCAATGGAGGTGACATGAGGGGTTGTGTTAAAGTAAGAAAAAGGAAAAAAGTGTGTGTGTGAGAGCTGCTGACTGATGGAGTTGCATTGGCAGCAAGAGACAAATCAGATTTCCCCGGCAAGGTTTTGTGTTACTTTAATGACGCGATTTTGATAAATAAAAGAGGTATAACTAAAAGTAGACTTGTATTGCTTGATCGGCCGAGGACTCGGATGGACAATATGGACACTTGAATCGCATTGAATTTCTATATCATCCCATTACCAATCAACCCTCTATTCCTATCACAATAAACAATCTCAATCTCAATCTTACCTTCCATAACGGCTGTTGCTACTCCTACTTAAACGCATCAAACTTTCTCGACAAATAACATGTCCACATGGCATCATCATCGGTGGATTTTCATCTGTGGCCTGCTCCTTGCTAACGGGACAAGCAAAGATTGAATGGAAACGAAGATCATCTGAAAGTGGCAGCTCAACGGGTAATTCATCTTGTTGACTCCATTCGGTCTTTGTAGCACTCACAATCTTGTACAGCTTGAGGATAACAGGAAGTGCTGTCGTGCCCACCAATACACTACCATCCATTGATATTAGAGAGAGCGAGCCATGATCCTTTCCACATCCACACATCTTTACCTGGCATAAAGCGGACTTTCAGCACTCATGCTCAACAATGAACAAAAATCACGTTGAAACTCCTGACGTATCTCAATCCACAATGTTGGCGAACATAGATCGGCGTATGGGGATGTCGTAAGATCTCGATAGTATATAATGGATGTCATCATACGCTTGATTTCTTTTATGGCAGTGGATAATGATGAGTCAAGGATACTACTTTTTTCATTTGGATACCAAATTACCTGTCATGTGCTTATCAGCAAAGAGGAAAAAGTGCTTTTGACCATAAGCAAGCGCTTCCATTTGTCGTTGTTCTCGTAATAGTTGAATGAAACGTAAACGATGCAGATCAAATTCGAGATTGCTTCCAAGCTTCTTGAGTTCTTCATGATGTGCTTGTGCCCACCTAAGCAAGGGGAAATAGATATAAGCCATCTCCTCCTTCCTATTGTTCCCTTTCCGAACTTACTGTATCGCCTCTGTTAACTCTTGCCCTTCATCCAAAGACTGGAGTATGGAATACATGCGATGGAATTCTTTTTTGAGCAGCTCTGTTGTCAATCGTAACTCATCTTCCTCATCAATGCCTGCTTCGGCCATGAACGCATCACATAATTCGAATTGGCCTTGACGGATAAAATGGATAGCCAGTGCCCGCCGCATGAGATTTTCTTTGCCAGCAAATGCCGATGGATTCGATATCACAGACAAATCGTGCGTAAATCGCTAACAAGGCATCATTAGATATACACACACTCCCGCCCATCTCTTTATATGCATGTATACGTACCCTATCGATATCCTTTGAGAACTTGTTGACAGCACCATGAAACTTGCGTTGGATCTTGTAGAATTCCTTATCCTTGCCGGCTTTATCATCATCACCTTGCTTGCCACCATCACCCTCTTTTTGATATAGCTTGTTGGCATTCTGCTGCAACCGTTGAAGCGCTTGCGTTGTGCTGGATGGATCTAGTTGGTATAAAAGAAGCGTTAGAAGGGTACAAAAGGAACGGGAATTATGCACACGCATAATCTCACCGGTAGCGATCGCTTCTTTGGCTTGTTCAAGTAGCTTTGAGAGATTGTCAAGACCATTGCCGACGCCCTTTTGCATTTTCTGTTGTGTGGCCTGAATCTTGCCGACGTGGTCTAGTAGGTCATCCATGGTGTGTGTGCGTGTGTGTATGTGTCAATGAGAGAGAGTCGTCGTAGCGTATGTGCGTGTGTGAAACAAGTGCCCTTGCATCCCCGCTGCCCACTGGTCACGTTATGAATTCATTCTGACTTTGCCTTATCACGCACATATCGTTGACATGGTTGCTGTGGCTAGCTTTTCTTGAGGTGGTTATAAAAAGTCGTCTACTAGCCAATCTCTACCAGCAGCCAACAATCAAGGTTGTCATTGGTGATCATCCTTGAGGATGTTACGCCACTTGTCAATATCTGAAGTATACGCCTCCATGCACAGGAAGATGTTGCAACAAGAAGTGTCTTCCCCCCGCCATTTTCATCGCCATCAAGGATCATCATCATCATCATAAAGGATGGGTGAATCACGTGGATTGGAGTGATACATTATTGAAGAAATCATCATTGTTGTCTATGTAGTGCATGTGATATCGAGTGATCAAATGGGGATCATGCATCACACGTAGTTGGATGGGACAAAAGGAGAGAGAAGAAAGGTGGTGCTGCTGCGTGCGTGCGGTGTTCGAAGCTCCATTGGAAAGGACCGACAGCCTGTTACGTGTTGGTGGGGGACTCTCTCTCACACCCTGCTTATTCTTTCACTTTCTTCTTCTCACTCTCGTTTCCCTTCTTCGTCTTTTTACATTCCTGTTCTTATTCGTTTGTGCAGTGTACACCTACATTACAAAGCCTGTCACTGAAACAATACGATAAAGCCCTTGTATATAGGTACGTCGACCCATTCCCATGCCACTCCCCAATTGCCTTGTGCAAGCTAACGTGACATTGTGTGTGTTACGACCCTCTTTAGTCTACGATCATGAAGATCAAAAAGACACCATCCAAAAAGCTCGCCCCAGTAGTAAGCGATCGTTCTTCTTGCTCTAAACAACAGACCAGAGATCAGCAGATGACTAATCGATCTGTCAACAGCCACGTCCTCTTAGCAATGTGATTGAAAGTCTCGAGCATGACCCAGAAGACCAGATTTCAGTGAATGCAGCAAAGCTCAAAGACTGGCCCTATCCACGAGGAGACCTCTTCCATTGGGTGCCAGTGCTTAATCGATTCGACAGTATCTTACAACGCGTCGTGGATGAATATGATCTCAAACAAGTCCAGTCGCGACCTTTTGATGCAGCTACAAAGGACGTCCTCGTCGCTATCACAGAAGTCTCCAAGACCCTCTTTGAGTACTGTACAAATCGCAACATTTACAACTCTTATGAAGTAAGGGATCTTCTTTATATATAACAACAAAAGATGACTAATCCCTCACTTTATAGCATATGAATGCACTTGTCAATACGACTGACATTGATGTACTGGTGAATGTCTTACGATTCATGCTGCGCCCCGCTCAGCGTGTGAACAATCCCCGAGCTGTGCGATCCACATTTGCTACGCCGCAGGATAGAATTATTCAACTTGCCCATCGATGGAGCACCCATGCTGATTATGTCGATATTTGTCGAGATTCATTCGAGATCAACGAGGATATGACAACAGCTCGTCTTCGATTCTATCGCACACAAGATGATAAACATGATGATGACAATGACCAACAACAACAACAACAACAACAACAGCCATCAGCTAGCAGCAACAATGGCGGCGGAGATCGTACCGAGGGAATGCACGTCATTGTGGAACAACTTGGCTCATCTTCAAACACTGATTCACAAGACTTACAAGAACTGGTCAAGCAGCACGATATACCAAAAGAATACCAATTTGAGCTCGCCAACCAGATTCGTATTGCAAAACATATCGCCAATCCCGTCTCAAGGAGGAAACTCTTGCTCGTTCGGATATTGGCAATCGCTATCATGGGTAAGTCCATGTTTATCTATCTATCTATGTATACACTATGCTAATACCATTTATCAGCACACACCTTATCAGAGACGACGGCACAAACCAAGGTCTTTTTATATGAGCCCCATTTAATCACCAACTTGGCCGATTTGGTTCGTCCTGACAAAGAGATGCCATTTGTAAGTGATCGACTTTTTATAATGAATTCCCATACTAAATCCAAATTTAGGATATACAAACATACGCTCTTTGTGCTCTTGATGGCATTGCAAGGAATCTTGGCAAGCTTTCTGAAGTATTGACAGCACTCAATGTATCAGCAAATCATGGTATCTTGTTGCAGATTCTACGCAGGATAAACAATGAATCCCAAAATGGTAAGTGGGTTTTATTCAGCAGGCTTTCATCATGTTGCTCATACGCTTGCCACCTTTTAGTCTATCCACGGGAATTCTTGGATGCGTTATTCACGCTGCTCTCTTGTGTATTGCAAAACCAACCTGGTGGTCAAATGCTCATGTCAGCTGGTGTCATTCCTATGCTTGTACAGATATTGGGTAACCAGCAATGTATACAAACAAAGGTATGTATGCGTAGTGGAAGGAAATGGCTCCAAAAAGAGAGATGACTTATATATCTCTGTATGTATAGTATGTCTCCAAGATTGTCAGTCTTTTGGATGCCATTGTCAATGCCTTTTCCACATCTTTCTCGGCATTCGTTAATGCAGGTGGTCTTGATACGTTGTTGGGTCGAATCAAGGTGAGTTTCTGATAGTGGGTAATCACATACACACACATAGACTCATCTTTTTGTGTTTTAGAATGAGGTGGAATATTGTTTACAATTCGATCGAGCAGACGATAGCATGGATACGAGCGATTCGCAACCAGATATTCAACCAGCACCTGGCACACTTGCACCTTATGATCGTATCTCAGCCATCAAGTCCATGCTCAAGTTTCTTTTGCGGATGATGGAAGCTGTTGGAACGGCAGATGCACTTCGTAATTTGATTGAGACATCAGTACCACGGTCATTGTTGGAGATCATTTCACACCCAAAAGTGTTTGGTGCCAATGTGCTTACCATTGGTAAATATTATGCATGGTTGACTTTTATGCAACACGTACATTAACACGTGATTTCTTTCTTAGCCATCAACATTATGACAACATTTATTCACAGCGAACCCACATCCTTGTCGATTCTTCAAGAAGCCAAATTACCACAAGCATTCCTCGAGACCATTTGTGCGTATAGTACTCCCAACAGTGAGGTGCTATTGGCTGCTATCAATGGATTTGGTGCCATTTGCTTGAATCCATCGGGTCTTGAAATGTTCAATAAGGCCAATCCTCTACCGCACTTTTTCGACTTGCTTACGGATCACGAATTCTTGCGCAACACCACCGAGGTTGACAGCTCGACAGCACTTGGAAATACCATGGACGAGCTCATTCGACATCATCCATCCCTCAAGCCAACGGTGTTTGAATGTTTGTCACGCATGATCAAAAAGGTCATTGAAATGGGTAGTGATGAAGTGGGCAAGCCCAACAATGACAGCCATCGTCTCAAGGTGATGCCCAAGCCTGGTGAGCAACAAGATGTTGATATGACACCTGCCAAATCGGAGGAGAGTGGTGGTGATACCACTACCACCCCCAGGGAGGAACCCAAAAAGGATGAGAAGACCGAATCTCTTTTAGTGTCATTCATTGACATGGTGGCTCGAGTATGTATAAGTGGGATAATGCTATAGGGTGATATTAACGGCTTTTCGATATAGTTCCTCGAAGGTCTTTTCCAGAACCAATCCAACATTCGTGAATTTGTAAAGGAAGGTGGTCCTGAAGTGCTTCTGGAATACTACACGTTGCCTTATTTGCCTGCTGAATTTTCCGTCACCATTGCATCCGATTCTTTGGCATACATCCTCAAGGTCATTAGTGATGTCAGCACTTTGCCAACCATCATGGCCATTGCAGAAAAGGTTAAGCAGTCGATCGCTTTCATTACGGAGAACAATACTTTGGGAACCGAGTGTATGGTCAAGCCTTACATTGACGTCAAAGGTAAACGGTTATTTCATGTCTTTATTCATAGTTATTGACTTGTATGTGTATAGAGGATGAAACGGCCAAGATCGAACAAGGCAATTCACTCTTTCGACGATTGGTGGTGCTCCATGGCTATGTCGGCCTGCTTTCCAATATTTGTTGCTCCACTGCATTGGTGTCATCAAGCAGAAATGCGCTCTCTCTTGTCACCGAATTCACCTCTGAAGAAGGAGACAACAACATCCTCTTGCTTCTTGGTCAATTGTACAGGTATGCAAGTGTATATTTGAGGTGTACTTTACAAAATCTGATATACGACTTTTATATAGAACGATGATGTGGGAGAACTTTTTACTCAAGGAATCCATTCCAAGCTCGTGGTATTCTTTCAAGTCTGCTAAAAAGTACTCAATATCGGGTTCAAATCATCCACTCGGTATCTTTGGTGTGAGTGCTGATGATCCAACATCACCCGCAGCAGCAGCAGCAGCTTCAAGTGAAGAACCCTCCTCATCGTCATCATCAAAGGAGGTTACAGCAGCTACCGATGACTCCAAGGACAAGGCTGAAAAGACACCTGATGCTAGCGACCCAAGGATCCAAAACGTCAAGCACTTTAAGCTTCTTCTTGGCGACATTCCTCAGTTCCTTATGCCAATGTTTCAAGGTAATAATTTATTCTTCCACAATAGTCAATGACAATGGATTAATGATTTATCTTGTATACTTAGGTCTAGTCAAGGTGTCCATTTCTCGCAATGCATCACAAGCACAAAAGACCCAGGCGTACAAGTTGTCTGAGCTGATGACACGATTGCTCAAGGAGAATATTACCTGGTTACGGGCATCGATGGACAATGTACCAGCATGCAAGTATGATTATTTGCAGACAATGTATACCATGGTGTCATTGTTGCTTCTCGATGATCGACCCCATGCATCGTTACACACACCTCTCGCATTGACGTTTGACCGACGAGGCGGTACCGAACTACTATTGGAGGACCTTGAAGTGATTTGGAATCAGGTATCCAAGGTGCATTCGGTTGCCAAGGAGCAGCGTACCAAGGAGCAGCAAGAACTTCTCCCACGCATGTATGGATCATTGGAAATGCTTTTGACAGTACTTGTGTACATCAGCTCGCCCAAATTGGTGCATGATTCGCCCTCTACCGCACCCATTGTACAGCGTGATCGCAAGTCGCCCGATTACTTTGACCCTTATGAGTGGATCATTGGCATGCAACTCAAGTTGTCAACCGTGAAAAAGTACTTTCAAAGCCCCGACTTGGATCAATTCTCGAGGACGGTGTTACATGTATTGCTCGATATTGTGTTGGAGATTCTCAAAGGGGAAGGTGAATCAAGCCTCAAGCATGAATCCTTTACACCTTCAGCTTCCCATTCGGCTGCTGCTGCTGCTGCATTTGCATCATCACCCTTTGCTGCATTACGTACCCCACCACCACCTGTCGTAGCGGATCCTCGTGGTGTTCAAACGCTTGTGGATATGGGCTTTGATCGTGCAGCTGCTGAACAAGCCATGGTGCGATGCAACAACCAGATTTCGCGTGCTGTCGATTATCTCTTTAGCCATCCACAGCCTGTACTTGCCAATGCGGGTCGAAGCAGAAACACGGATGAAGATGGCGAGGATGATAATGATGAACCCATGCATGATTCCTCGGTCCACGATGATGATAGTGATCATGATAGTGAACATGAGGAAGAGGAAGAGGATCAACCAGCTACTGAAGCGACCGAGCAACAACAGCAACCACAACAACAACAGGACATGGATCAAGGCGAAAGCAGTAGCAACAACAACAACAACAACAATGGTGGCAATAGCAGACAAGAAGAGGAGGAAAGTCAAAAGCAAAAGGAAGCCGAGTTGGTCAAGAATGTGGAGACACTCCAAGAGATTCGAGTCAACATGAAGAAGGATATCCCACCTCTCGTCCTTGACCTTGTGGATAAGCGAGAAGATTTGTTATTTGATATTCGTGGTTTATTGGTGGCATTCTGCAACAATGATGATACGAATAACAAGGTGGCAGCTGAAATTATGACATTGCTCATCTCTCGCATCAAGGAGGTTGGCGAAAAGTCGCCTGATTCACCTGTGCTTGGTACACGTCTACGATTGCTCGCATTGTTTTACAAAGAGTCCGCTATGCAACCGGTTATTCCTCGTATTCCATCGGAATTGTCGTTCCTCTTTGATATGGTTAACTCGATTGGAAGCAATGCTGACACGCCGTTGCCACCCTGGTTCACGACCGTGTTTCTAGTGCTTGAAGCTGTTATTTCACAAGCTGAGGAACCAAGAAAGGAGAAATTGGTCAAGCCATCCAACGACAATGATGATTCGATGAGCGACGTGGAAGAAGAACAACAGCAAAAGGATGATGAGGAAGTGGATGACCAACCACAGCAAACAGTGATTGATGTCGGCCAACGGACACGTTTATTGAACAATTGTGTGACATTCCTGCAAAAGAGCAAGTTGACACGTAATGAGATTTATGCAATTCTACGTGTGGTGGTACATTTGACCAAGGATTACGATGCTGCATGCAAGTTTGTTGAGTATGGTGGATTACCTCTCTTGTTTGCCAAACCACGTGCCAGCCTTGATGGTATCCAGGGACAACAAGCCTTTGTGCTATTGATTTTACGCCACATTATTGAGAGTCCAGCCTTGCTTCAATCCACCATGGAGGAACTGTTGACAACATGGTTCACTGTACCACGCCCTCGTCAAATGGAAGCCAAGGCTTTCATTCGCACCAATGCTCATCTTGCCTTACGTGATCCAAATGCGTTCCTCAAGGCTGTAGAAAATGTTGGTTCTCTTACCCATTACGACAAGCATATGCAGAGTTACAATGTCAAGCTACGATCTGAAGACGACAGCAATGAAAATGATCAATCGGCCGATAACAAAGCTACATCATCTTCATCTGATGCCGATGTCAATATGGAAGCAGCAGCAGCAGTCGTACCTGAACAACAACAACCATCTCATGCTAAAGCATCATCATCAACAACCTCCGCTGTGGTGGTGAATCACTTGCTCAACGAATTACTCTCCATTCGTGCTACTAGCGAGGAACATCAATCGACAAAGCCCACAGATGAAGAAAAGAAGGCTGAGAATCAACGATACGCATACATTGCATTCTTGTTGCAGTGCTTGGTGGAATTGGTACAATCATACAAGTCATGCAAGTATGATATTTATGCATTCGGTCGACGACGTGGAAGTAAGGATGGTAGCACCACCACCAGCAACAAGACACGCAGCTCGATTTTGCACATGTTGCTCAATGATCTATTGCCATACAATGCCATCAATCCCAACACTGAAGAATCACGAAAGCAACAAGGTGTATCCATGTGGGCAGCATCCTTGTTGGTGGCCATGTGTTATGAAACGCCAGCACCCAAGAAAACAGACAATGGTGGTGACGATTTGGCCCAAGTACGCAAGTACGTTTTTGACGGCATCATACGTTCCCTCAAGGAAACGGTGGCTTCATCATCGGGCACTTTGGCTGCAAAATACGGCAAGTTTTTGGCATTGTCGGATTTATGTCATCGACTCTTGAATGCACGTCCAAACACGCTTTCATCCCAACGTGGTGCTGGTGCTGGTGGTGGTCCTCTTGGTTCGAGTGGTGGTTCGGGTAGTGATGAAGAATCGATCATGAGTGTTGCCAAGATTATGGTGGACAAGAACTTTGTGGGCTCACTGACAGCAGCTATCAGCGATGTTGATATCAACTACCCACATGCAAAGACGGTGCTCAATTCCATGCTACGTCCACTTGAACAACTCACCAAACTCGCTACCAAGATCCCTGATGATGCTGCAGGCTCCAAAGAAGATGGTGACAAGAAACGTGGCGAGATTTTATCGTACGATGTATCTGCATCCACTGATACGGAAGCTGAAGACACACCCGACTTGTATCGCAACTCGGCACTTGGCATGTTTGATGGTAGTGTGATGGAAGAAGATGAAATGGATGAGTTCGAGTCCGAGGAAGAAGATGAAGAAACGTAAGTATTGAATGGCCCAAAATTTTGGATGCTTCTATTTTGGACTTACACGTATGGATAGATTTGATGAAGAGGAATTTGACGATGACAGCAACAGCGATTTATCGGATATGAGCGAAGTAGACGATGGAGATGAGGATGTCGATGACGAAATGGGTGCCATGATCCACCAATTTGACACTGACATGGAAGAAGATGAAGTACGTGAAACTTTGTTTGTTGTTGCAACAATAACGACTCATCATGACACTTTGATAGGATGGTAGCGGTGATGAAGATGGTGATGGTCATGATACGGATCACACGGATGGTTCAAGCGATTACGATGAAGATGGCCGAGAAATGACATGGCGCATTGAAGATATTGAGGATGATCCAGATATGCACGTTGATGCCGAGATCGAAGTGGATCGTGAAGATGTATTTGATTCAGCTGACGAACATGACGGTGGTCATCACGCCAACGATGTCTTTGGTGAAGATGTATGTTTATTCTTATACATAATTTGATACACATTGCTCATCTCATTCTATTGATAGGGCCATGTGGACGAGCTTGAGACACTGGATCAATCCGACTTTGATGAAGATGAAGATTCTGAAAACATTGAAGATGCTGAAGCCGAAGCCGATATTATTGATGATCGTGCTCTACTTGACGACATCCAGGATGAAAATCCTTTCCTTGGCAATCCTCTCATGGGTGATGGACTTCTTCTTGATGATGATCGACGCCATCGTTCTATGGGATCATTACATTTCCGCCGCTTTGAACGACCACACAATCGTGGAAGACTTGTTGTTGAACCAAGTAAGTAAAAAGTGACTAATGCATTAAAAAGGGGTGTATACTTATCAGCTTTATATAGCACCTTCACGCTCTTTCCGTGCACCAAGTGCGTTAGGCGGTCGTGGTACCGATGCTCAAGATGACATGGTTGTCAACCATCCCTTATTGACTGAAAGCCAGCAAGCAGGAGGCCATGAAGTCCCACCAAGCCGATCTATTAGCGAATTACAGCAGCGATCTCGATCCACTGGTTATAGCAATTGGCAGGCGTTTGAGGATATAGTGGGTGGCAGTGCTATGCGATTCCTCGAGAGTTTCTTGTCACAAGCACCTAGCAATGTTCAATCGGGTCCTTTCCGTATTGATCTACAAGGCCGAGGTGGTGGCATTACACGCACGTTTGAATTTGATCATCTTCCTCATACCCATGGACATCATCATCGACCCGCTTCAGGAGGAGGAGCAGCAACACAACAAGCTGAGTCTCAAGGCACCGATCAAATGCGTGATTTGTTGACCATTTTACATGATTTCCAACCCTTGGGATCTGCTGATCGTTGGCACCAAGAAGCACGTATGATGTATGGCAGCAATTTGATGCCTGACAAGGCTCAACGTCTTACCAATGCCATGCTCAACTTGTTATTCCCCATCACCATCCGCGAGCAAAAGATTCAGCGTGAAAAGGAAGAAAAGCGACGCAAGGAACAAGAACGAATTGAAGCTGAGGAACGTAAGAAACAAGAAGAGGAGCGTAAACGGCGTGAAGAAGAGGAACGCAAGAAAAAGGAAGAGGAAGAGCGTCGTGCTGCTGAAGAGGAGGCTGCTCGTAATGAGCAACAACAGCAACAACAAGCTACTGGTGATGATGATACTGCCATGGAAGGGACACAATCATCTTCTGAACAAGCTCAAGGCTCTGATTCGCAACAACCTACAACGATTACGATCCATGGCGAAGAAGTTGATATCTCTGGTACTGGTATTGATATTGAATTCCTTGAAGCGTTGCCTGAGGATTTGCGTGAAGAAGTGGTGAATCAACACATGCGTGAACATCGACCTGAGACACAAGCATCAGAGCCAGATGCCATCAGCCCTGAATTTTTGGATGCCTTACCACCTGATATTCGTGAAGAGGTGCTTCATCAAGAGGCTCTTGAACGTGATCGTCGTGAACGTCAACAACGGCAGGGTGGAGGTGGTGAAGCTGATGGTACAGCTACTACAGCAGCTACTACAGCAACTACTACTACTGGACCTGAAGCAGGTAGGCAGCAGCCTTCGGCTGGGTTGCAGCAGCTTGACAATATGTTGACGCAGCTTTTCTCCAATTCCGCAGGACTTGGAAGAGAAGCAAACACTTTGCAACGCTTTTTGACTGGTATTGGTGGTCGTGCAGGTGCATCAACACGTGATGGTCAACAACAACAACACCAACGCAAGCATGCTGTGCATCGTAATGCTGTTCAATTGGTGGACCGTGCGCAATTGTCGGCATTAGCACGTCTTTTATTTGTACCACAAACAATTTCCAAATCGGTGCTCAACAAGTTATTGATCAATTTATGCGAGAACAACAAGACACGCAGTGATTTGCTATCGTTCTTGGTGTGTGTGCTTCATGATGGAGGTGGTGATCTTGCAGCTGTCGACCGTAGCTTTGCCCAATTGTCATTACAAGCCAAGGGTATTTACAAGCCTGTGTCCAAGCCAAAGGGTATTGCTGCTCCTGATGAAAGTGTGCCCAATTTTATCACACAGCGATGTCTCGAGTTCCTTATGCAAGTCGTTCGTGCCAATGATCAATCGTTGACTTATTTCCTTGTTGAGAATGATTGTCTTGCCGGCCTCAAGCGTACTGGCAGCCGTAAAGGAAAAGGAAAGGAAAAGATGACACCTTCCAGCAAGTACCCTCTGCTTGTCCTCATGAGCTTGTTGGATCGCAATACTTTTATCGACAACCCAAGCCTTATGGAGGAGTTGATGCATCTCATCACCACTATATGTCGTCCATTCCCAGCACTTGTCAAGAAATACGTTGATAAAATGGAGACACGACAGCAAAAGGAAGGTGGTTCAGAGGATAGTAAATCAGCATCAGCAAACAAAGAGAGCACAACTACTGCTGAGGAAAGCAAAGCAACAAGCAAAAATGGTAGTGGCCAAAAGGAGACGACGACGACTTCTTCATCATCATCGACAGATCGCCCTACACCTAAACCACCCACCATTCCAGATCATTACTTGAAGCAAGTGGTCCATGTGTTGACATCGGGTGAATGTTCCAGCAAGACCTTCCAATACACATTGAGCGCATTATCCCATTTATCGTCCTTGGATGGTGCACAGCAAACTATCACTTTGGAGCTTGTTCAAGATGCCCAAGATTCTGGCAAACACATTCTTAAGGACCTTGGTGAATTGCTACATATTCTCGATAATGCTATGGCGGGTGCAGAAATCCAGGGATCAGCACTTGGTCCTTTCTCAGCAGCATCCTCGCATCAGGCCAAGTTGTTGCGTGTTCTAAAGACAATCGATTACTTGTACTCACCCAAGACTGCCAATACCGGTGCACCCAAACCAAATGAGAACAATGAGGATGAACAAGCAAAGAATGAGAAACGCGTGCTCGAGATCTATAGTGAACTCAAGTTCCTTCCACTATGGAAAATGCTTGGTCGATGTCTTGCTGTTATTCACGAGAAGGATGATCTTATCAACGTTGCCACTGTTTTATTACCATTGATCGAGGCCTTCATGGTGGTATCCAAGTACAGCACTGAAAAGACGGCTGAAAAGACGACTGAAAAGAACAATGCTGAGATCCAGACACCCACCGAGAATGAAAAGGATGAAGACTTTTTCTTTGCATTTACGGAGGAACATAAAAAGGTGCTCAACATTATGGTGCGAAACAACCCATCCTTGATGATTGGATCATTCTCATTGTTGGTACGCAATCCCAAGATGCTCGAGTTCGACAACAAGCGCAACTACTTTGTGCAGCAATTACATAAGCGCCATGGTGAACGTCGTATGTATGCACCATTACAATTGAACGTGCGTCGACAATATGTATTTGAAGATTCGTATCACCAGCTGTTGGGTCGCACGGGAGATGAGATCAAGTACGGCAAGTTGAGTGTACGCTTTTATGACGAAGAAGGTGTGGATGCTGGTGGTGTGGCACGTGAATGGTTCTCGGTGTTATCGCGTCAAATGTTCGATCCAAACTATGCATTATTCATCACATCAGCTGCTGACAAGCTTACATACCAACCCAATCGAGCATCAGCTATCAATCCGGACCATCTCAGCTACCTCAAATTTGTGGGACGTGTCATTGGCAAGGCTATTTACGATGGCCGACTTATGGATGCATACTTTACACGTTCATTTTACAAGCACATTCTCAATCGATCCGTTGACTATCGTGATGTTGAGGCCATTGATCCAGAGTATTACAAGAGTTTGGTGTGGATGTTGGAGAACGATATTACCGATGTCATTGATTTGACCTTCAGCATTGAGACCGATGACTTTGGTACTACCAAGGAGATTGATCTTAAACCAGGCGGTCGTGACATTCCAGTGACTGAAGAAAACAAGCATGAGTATGTGGCATTGGTGACCGAGCAAAAGTTGACGCTTGCTATCAAGGACCAAATCAATGCTTTCTTGCAAGGTTTCCATGATATTATCCCGCCGTCGCTTATTCAAATCTTCAATGAACAAGAGCTTGAGTTGCTCATTTCTGGTTTACCGGATATTGATATCGATGACTGGAAAGCCAACACGGAGTATCAAGGAGGCTATTCACAAGGCTCACCACAAATCCAATGGTTCTGGCGGGCTGTACGTAGCTTTGATCAAGAAGAACGAGCCAAATTGCTTCAATTTGCCACTGGTACTTCCAAGGTGCCCCTTGAAGGTTTCTCCCAGCTACAAGGATCAGGTGGTATTCAACGATTCCAAATTCACAAGGACTATGGTGGTGATTCTCGTCTCCCATCGGCACATACTTGGTAAGTGATTGTTGTAAATATCGTTGACAACATGTTTCTAATCTAATATGACTTTTTAGCTTTAACCAAATCGATTTGCCGGAATATGATGCATACGAGACCCTTCGCTCTAGCTTGTTCAAGGCCATCAATGAATGCTCAACCGGCTTTGGTTTCATATAGATTCTTTTTCCTCCCACCCGTTTCTCTTTTAGTCACATTGCATGCATAATCTAATATAAAAAAAAACTTGCGACATAAACATAAGGGATGGAATGTTATTACTACTGTTTTCATAAGAGCCACGTGGATCGGGGAGGAGGCAGGAGGTGCATCATAGCAATATAACCTTTCCTGATCTCCCTCAACTACTCGTTTCCATGACGACGATGTCTTCCACCTCTTGTGGTGTATGTAAACGTTGCACTTGCGTCGTCAATTTAGGCCATGCGCCACACTTTATGCATCTTACCAGCACGAATTAAAAAGTACCACCACCTACCATGATGGTGTGCTTCTTTTGAAAGTGCCATCAAGGATCTACTTGGTGGTATCCCATCGATACAGGTTGCCCGAGAAAAACGCATGAAACTAGTGGCGGGATATGCTAGGATACCTAGATTTGCATAGTGGTAGATCATTAAAACGTTGGAATTTTCCAAGATGCAAGCACTCACTATTAGGAAAGAGGAGGTCAATATAGCTAATCCTTGTTTGGTTGTATGGCGTCATTGTTCTTTTGTACTCAGCTGATGAGCTGCATCATACTAACATCATTATTCTTTGGTACATCCCAAGAACTACTCTTTGTGTTTTACCTACATAGCAACCAAAAATGCTGTGATTGTAATCTAGATGAAACGGAAAATGACAACCAGGGATGTAGAGTTGCTGTACTACGAGCGGATCGTTGTTGTACACACACACACCGATGTTGCTGTTTTTATCAGGCTGTTGCTGGTCCAAGCGGCAGTATTCGAAATCTTTTGTAAAACCCAACTCAGACATCACATAGGAGCTTACCACATCTCCACGTGCTAAACAGCGGTCCAAAAAATAAGGATACAACAATCATCATGCCATCTATTTTTCAAAAAGGGTGCAAATGGTGATTATGCAAGCAAATAGACGCATCCACGCGATTTTTTCATCGGCAGTACCGGATCTCAAGCCGCTGTGTTGTATGCACTGCTTGTACAACGCGACACACACGGCACGTGTTTAACCTGCGGATGGCGAAAAGTGGTGATGGTGGTGATGGTGGTGTCGTGAAAACAAACAATTGCAAGCAATCCTTACAGGTCATGGTTGCCATGGAGATGTACGTGAGATGATATTAAAAAATAGCCATGTGATAAGCCAATGGCTGTGTTGAGTATATTTAGCCGTTTAAAAAAGATGCTACGCTCCAACAAAAGAGCTTGAATCCAAGCACGTCTTTGCTTGTACCACCCACCAATTTCTGGTTCACATCTCGCAATCGCATAATCCACACGTTTTGAGTCATCTATGGCTTATTGGCGACTTGATAAAGTCGATAAACATAAACAATCCGAGGTTTCCCGCAAGATAAAGTCTCATTGTGAATACGCGACCTTGTATACCCAATTGAAGGCATGATAGCTGTAAAGTATAGTTCATTTGACGTTTTGAGCAACATTGTGCTATTTTAACGTGGTCCATCTTTGACATGATGGATCCAGTTAAGGATGTTCCCAATGCCAAGATTTTGCCAAGGGTACACACGTACGTACGTACGTACGTATTGTATCTATCTTACGCCACACATAGGTCTCGACCTTAGACAACGGGTATCGTATTTGCATTCAAGTCGTTCCTTCATCTCCCCGCAGGCTGTGTAAAAACGAGAATTAGGAAGATATTCACCGTGATCGGCGTATCTATCATCATCATGTGCCCCCATGGTCATAAGGTAACCCATCATCCCCCGACCATTTACTACTAGGTGTGTGTGTGTGTGCGGCTCAGTCAATTACCCGGTGCATCATTTCCAAATACACGCTTGCCGACGTGTGGAAGCCAACTTTGGTAATGACAAGGGTCAAACAAGTGTGGGGTCAAAAGAATCGATCACAATGTGCACCACCACATACACCACAAATCCATGTAGAGAGCCGACGTGGTGTGTGTGAGAGAGCCTTAGCATCCACATAAAGGGTATAGCTCCAATGCAAACCACATTTGGGCATTATAGACCGATTGTTTACCTAATGGGCACAAAAGATTTTCTATCGCCAAAAGTATACAGCGCCCCACGAGGGATGATTAAAGAAAAAGCAACGAGGCGTTGCTGCATGATAAACAACCACACATGGAAAGGGAAAAGGTCGTCATTTCAAACTTGATTTCTCGACAAAAGAGCGCGCGCGCAAAATATACATCATCATAGATGGCTCACGTTGCACGGTGAGTGTTGTATCACCGCATCCTCCTTCTTTGCTCGGTGACGAATGACAAAAGTATGATGAAAGGATGGGAAGCTCTAGAGCATTGTGGTGGTGGTGGCCATGAGGCAAAGCCATCTTGTGCAAGGGAGGAGGAGTAGTATACATCATCAAGATCTGTCATTATGAAATATGAATTCCTTCCATTTGAATGCCACTCAATCCCTCATGGTAGGGATAAAAGGAAAATACGGGAATGTCATTGTCGATTGATAATGCTTATTCTCTTTGTTAGAGACCTTGGAACAGGGATAAACTGCCCACTTTATCATGGTGGTGGTCTGGGGTCCCATGTGTGAACCATGAAGGGGGGTCCTCTCTCTCTCTCTTTTTTTTGATGGGCGTTCTGTTTCAAAACGTCGCACTGCATTGTATGGGAACAGTTGGGGATTGAAGATGATTGCGCAAAGCACAAAGACAAAAACACAATTCGCTTAGCAACAACAATGTGTGACCCTATTGACGATCTGACAAACATAGACATGCACCCAGGATTGGCACTGTTTACTCTCCTCCTCCTCCTTGGATACATGGTAATAAATCATCGGAAGTGAAAGTAGCCGATCAACAAGTGTGTAGGGGATATGAGTTTTTCGGATAAGATGCACGTTGCAAGTTACTTTGGTGGTGATGATTGTAAAGTAAACCCTTCTTAGTGCATCGTGAATGTGGAATTATACAACAACAGATGCATGAGGCGCGGGTTGTTGGCGGTGGTACATTACTGCTCGGCATGGAATATTGTATATGGTTACAATACCATGCGCAATGGAAACTTCAGCAAGCAGAAAAAAACAAGGACTAAACGCTTTCTAGCATTAAAAATTTAGATCAGCAAGTGATGATGGGGGGTGTTAAAAGCAACGACGACGGGTTTAGGAGAGAGAGAGAGGGATTGTTGTTGCAATGCCGCGTGAATTGAATGATGATGGTGTGTGTGTGTGTGTGTGTGTGTCTCCCAGGGATATCAAAGGAGATGATGTGGATGATTGCGAGCAGCCATCCAATGTCAGGAGAAAGGAAAATGGGCTAAATGACGCGCGATAAACGTTGGGATGAGCAAAGTAATCTATTTTTGTGTGCCTTTCCAAATCATCCACTCTGCATTCTTTGCTTCTTTTTTTTACGTGTCCACATTACTCGCTTCTTTCTCTCTTTCTTTCTTTCTTTCTCTTTCAACTCTCTCTCTCTCTTTTTTTTATCTTCTTCTTTTGGGATTTCCTTGATAGTAGTAAAATAGTAGTAGTGTATCATGATCCATCATTCTACAGGCACCGACGTGGCCAATCCTATTCTTCTCAATACACCACCACCCACTCCACTCAAGGAGCCATTGCTTTTCTCTCCGCCTACTACTGTATCCAAGCAATCACCTGAAAAACAATCTGAAAAGAAACCGCAGCAGCCACAATACATCGAAGTCATTGCCCCCGATACGCCACCACCTGCTGCTGCTTCTGTTGACAGCAAACAAAAGGAAAAGTCGCCATTGTCCATTGACTCATTGTCGCAATCGTCCAATGCATCGCTACCTTTGCCTTCTCCTCAATCGGCAACGACGCCTCAACAAGAGCTATCACCAAGATCATCGGCTACCCCTTCTCATACATTGGATGGTGGTAGTACACGTTCAAGCTCAATGGTATCTGTGAGCGTCCTTGGCGACCAACAGTTATTGGATCACTCGCATCTTAAGCCTGGCCATCGAGCATCCTTATTATCCTATGCACAGACCATCAACATGTATCGCGACAATGCCAAAAAGACCAACAGCCCTGACATCCAATGTGATTTCGCCATCTTTATGGTGGAAGCTGCCAAACCACTTGCAACCGAAGGCGCCACAGCTGCCGAACGATGGGCTTATCTTACAGAGGCTGAGAAATTGCTGAGACAATTGTCCGCTCGTGGTCATGCTGAATCGCAGTACTACCTTGGCAACCTCTACGCAGCGGGAATGCTTAGCAAAAAGGGCAAGAACGAGTTTGACAAGGCTTTCCCTCTCTTTGTACAAGCAACCAAACATCATCATGCCGATGCTTCGTTTAGGTAATTCGCGCGTTTTATTATTATTATTACGTGGTGTGGGGATGGGTGGGGTTGTTGATGAGTGAGAGAGGTGGGGAAGGAGGAGGGGGGTGGTTATGATCAAGGAGATGATGGATGTAGATGCCTTGATGTATGTACACATACATACACCTTCATGACAAGAGGAGGGGTTGGATTGAAAAGGGATTAGAGTGAGGGAGGGAGCAAAAATTGACAGTAGACTTATATCTCCTTATGCGTATAGAGCGGCAAAATGCTATGAAGATGGTCTTGGTACTCGCAAGGATCGGTCCAAAGCTGTACAATTTTACAGGTAAATACCATTTGGCACCGTGTTTTGTCCCCCAACCAACCAAAATACTTATTCTATTGTACATTTTCCTCCCCAACAACAACAACAACAACAGAAAAGCTGCCACATTAAGTCACCCGGGTGCTATGTACCGATTGGGCGTTGCACAAGTATATGGGGAATTATCGATATCCAAGAATGCAAGAGATGGAGTAAAGTGGCTGAAAAGAGCTGCTGAAGCGGCGACACCCGAATATCCCCATGCAATCCATGAATTGGCGCAGCTGCACGAAACAGGAATCAAGAATGTTGTTTTCGTGGATCTGGACTATGCTGTGTCATTGTACGCCCAGGCTGCGGATCTGGGATACGCTCCATCCGCGTATCGTTTGGGAGAGTGTTACGAATATGGAAGACTCAATTGTGATCAAGACCCTGCTTTGTCCATCCATTACTATACCATTGCTGCTCAACAAGGTCATTGCGAAGGATGCTTTGCTCTCACGGCTTGGTACCTTGTGGGTTCGCCCGAAGTCCTTCCACAATCAGATGAACAAGCCTACGTATGGGCCTATCGTGCGGCTGAAATGGGTCTTGCCAAGGCTGAATACGCTGTCGGTTATTTCACAGAAGTTGGCATCGGCACTATCAGCGACCCAGATGAGGCTTTCGAGTGGTACAGCAGAGCTGCTCAGCATGGCGACAAGCGTGCCATCCAAAGGATACAAGCACAACAAGGTCTTAATGCCGATCAGCATGATGGCCATCATCATCATGGCAAAAAGAACAAACGTCGTCAAGATTCATGCATGATCATGTAAAAAAAAAACCAACAACCAACTAGTCGTCCTTTCCCCCCATCCTGTTCCTTTTGTCTTTTTCAGATACCTCTACTCTGTCCTTTTTGATTTCTTTTTCCCCTCGTCGCATTGAGCATCTACAACAACATCCTCACACTTTTACCTCCATTTACAACACCTTCAACCCCACAACAACAACAATCCACGTACAACAACAACATTTCATATATATATATGGCATACTTTAATGAGATTAAAACCTTTTGCATTTGCTTCATGTATCAACCAAAATGCGTATCATCATCTCCTTTTATGTTTCCCCTCACGCGTCCTCACGTGCATTAACTTTAATGTGTGCATTAGTACGTACGCTTGACCCTTGTTCAATCGTCTGTGACATTGCATATCCGGGTAAACACTTTTAAACTAAGGAGTACCATCATCAACGCTGTTGAACATCGTACATTTTACCCATTGAAGGTATTTTCAGAACAATTTCCCAAAATGTACAATATGCATCTTCATTTTCAGGTACCCGATGATATTACAGTGTGCATCATTGTTTGCTTGTTGTTTGCTTTATCGCTAAAAAAGAACCTACGCATTGATTGTTGTGTCCCGAAATAAACTTGATTGCCGTTCAGGGATATATCCACACATGCTCGTAAACTCTACGACGGCTGCTACTACGACAACTACTACTACTTCTGCTGCAGCCTATATGCAAGCTAAAGTTTCAATGCAGTAGAATCACCCAATGGTGGCCACGTCAAAAGGGGGAGTTGAGAATGATGCTGTATGTATGTATGCAGCCTATCCTGATTATCAAACTTTGCCGGATTTTCAAGGGAAAGGAAACAAAACGTATCATAAAGGAGAAAAGACGTTTGCTTGCATTGTATAAAGTTTTCTTTGTATCAAGCTGGATAGTGTAACACCATCTTCCCCATGCACGACACGCATGTACTTTATGGCTTTCTCATTTTTATTACCCCTGCCAAACTACATTGATTTCCAAATCCATTCTCACTCCTTCTCTATTACATTATCTCAACCTTGTCGGCATCATGATGTCATCCTCAATGCATAGCGTCTTCCACGACATGATGGATCTGGCGGAGGTTTGGTTGATGGTGACCCGCTTGAGAATACATAAAAGATCATGCATCATTGATCATGGTAGTAGTCATAGTGGTTGTCAATCTCATAGCCCCATAAAAGGGGGGTGATCCTATTTTGTGGTACGTTGCCTACAACATGGAGAGTTTTTTCTATTATTCCAAAAAGACGGATCGATGTGTCTCACCATTGGCATTGTGTGAGTTCGCATGAAAGTAATATGTGTGAGTTCTCGCTATAGTAGGATGAATAAGCCAAGCAAGCCAATCAATGACTTGCCACAAGACGGACATTTGATATTTGTCAGCCGGCTCCGAATTCTATCTGGCTTCAGTTTCTCGTATTTTTGACATCCCGCTCATAAGACGATGATGATGATTGATATGAATCCATTGATCAAGATAAGTTATTAGCATGATGCAATTTGAAATCGATACCAAAATCCATGGATGGACAAGGTCATTTATTGTATAATGAGGGATCATGATCATTGTTTCTATGTAGATGCTGTAGCGATGATGGTGATGGCATTAAGGGCCCTGGAAGGGGTAGTGGCTCGGTTGCCATGACGACATGTGATTGGCTAATTAGCTTAGTAAGATGTCGTGCAAGGCCAATCGGCTGGATGAAGAATGACGAGAGCGGGTATTTTTGATGCACTGGGATATATAAGAAGCGGGGTACATCGTTTCTTTTGTTCTCGTTTGTATTTCTTTATCTTTCTTTAAACATCTATACTATGGCTCCTCAACAACACAAAGTTGCCATCATTGGCTCTGGCCCTGCAGGTAAAGAATGAGAACAAAAAAAAAGAGCTATTTGACGTTTTTTACCCACAACCTGTCAACTCACACAACCCTCTCCCTCTTCAGGCCACACTGCTGCTGTTTACCTTGCTCGTGCCAACATGGAGCCCATTCTCTTTGAGGGTATGATGGCCAATGGCTTCGCTCCTGGTGGTCAGCTTACCACCACTACCGATGTCGAGAACTTCCCTGGTTTCCCCGAGGGCGTCCTTGGTGGTGAATTGATGGACAAGATGCGTGCCCAATCCGAGAAATGCGGTACTAAGATTGAGACCGAGACCATTACCAAGCTTGACTTGTCGGCTCGTCCTTTCAAGATCTGGCGTGAGGGATCCGAGAACAATGAGGAGCCCACTGATATTGCCCAAGCTGTTGTCTTTGCCACTGGTGCCTCTGCTCGTCGTATGGACCTTCCTGGTGAGGACAAGTACTGGCAAAATGGTATCTCTGCTTGTGCTGTTTGTGATGGTGCCGTTCCTATCTTCCGCAACAAGCCTCTTGTTGTCGTTGGTGGTGGTGATAGTGCTGCTGAGGAAGCTATCTACCTTACCAAGTGTAAGTAGTTTAGGGAGTGGAGGGAAAGGGGGGATATAGATCATGTATACTGATCCACTGGTTATCTTTTTTTGTAGATGGTTCCCATGTCCACGTCCTTGTTCGTCGTGATGTTCTTCGTGCTTCCAAGGTTATGGCCAACCGCCTTCTCAAGCATCCCAAGGTCACCGTTCACTTCAACACCGTCGCCACTGAAGCTAAGGGTGATGGCAGCCTTTTGACTGCTGTTGCTACTCGTGATACAAAGACTGGTGAGGCTGGTGAAATCCCTGCTAGCGGTCTTTTCTACGCTATTGGTCACGTGCCTGCTACTGAACTTGTCAAGGGCCAAGTTGATCTTGATGAAGAGGGCTATGTTAAGACCGTCCCTGGTTCTTCTCAAACCAGCGTTCTTGGTTTCTATGCCGCTGGTGATGTTCAAGATAAGCGTTACCGCCAAGCCATTACCTCGGCCGGTTCCGGTTGTATGGCTGCTTTGGATGCTGAACGATACCTTACCGAGCTTGAGGAAGAGGGTACTGCTCAATAAGAAGAAAAAGCATGTTTTTTTACGACAACAATGTACGCATACAAAAAAAGTTAGACATCTTTACCCATATCCGATTCGCCATTTGTATCTCGCAACTACAACCTTCAATCACACACACAAGCACTCGCACACACACACACGTAAGCACCCATTCAAAATTTAGATCTCGTCCATTCCCCTGTCTTATATAAACAGCTACGAGTTAATTGTACAATTCATAAGGTCGTGATCGTGTCACTGTAATATGCATGATTTCCATAGCAACAGCTTCAATGAGTGATGTGATCTTTATATCTCGTGTCTTAATTAATGCGTCTTCCAACCCCACCCTCTCCTTTTCTCCGTCATCGCTCTTTCTTTAACAAGATCGCACAACACCTTCCAACTCAACACGATGCGCCCATTGACCCTTTGACCCCCCATTTGAATTCAACGCAATGGAGTTCTTACTTGCGATGCGAGCCATTGACTCTATAGCAGCAGCAGCACGCGATATTTTTGACAATGCCTTATATAGAACACTTTATTATGGAAATACAGCTTTTTTTACGATACAACATCATATCACATCACATTCCACATGCTTGTATTTGATTATTGGATGATGAGGATGGGATGGGATGGGTAAACGGCGTTGGTGCCAATCTTCCAACGTGTCTATTATCAACATTCGTGCAGCTTACAGATACACCTGCGCCTCATTCTCACGTTCGCATCCATATGAAGATTAGTATTTTACGACGTTGAACACGATGGTGGTGGTGGCACAGCTATTCAGCAAAGAAACATTGTCGATCTCAAGATATGCAAAAGGGACAACAACAACAACAACAGATGACCATCATCACCATATGCAAGCAAGAGAAAACACCTATATTAGGCATTGATTAGCTGTATCAATGTATGCTTGACAACTTCACTATACATTGCATGTTTTGACAGAAATAAAATACCATGATGGGATGTTTGTTATTGACAGTGGCCTTGTGTTTTTTCTTGTGTCAGTGGTGCAACATTTCCTTTGGAGGTATTTGCATTACAATATGTACTACCACCACCCAAGAAGGTGTTTCTTTTATGAGTGACCAAAGGCATTAAACTATAGAGGCAAAGTGACAAAGGATGACATGTTGTAACCCCCTTGAGACAGGAGAGAGGAGATGATCGTCGGCTATACCGTGTATGGTCAAAGTGGGAACCACTCAGAATAGGGAGGAGACAAGAGAAGGATGCTGCAGTCCATTTCACGTTACACTCGATTCATTTGCCTCTTGGAACAATCACACGCTAATGCCTGTCTTTGGTCCCCTTTTTGTTTCGAGGCCCCTTTTACCACGCTGTCGTCGTTCCTTTTTCTCTTTTTCTCTTTCTTCCTTTACAAACCTCCAACCATGCTACATTATCCTATACGCTCGGCTGTTTTGTTGCTATGGACAACAATCGCATGCCAAGCAGCTGTCATTCCTCCTCCTCCTCCTCAGCTACCACCACAACAAGAATTGACAGAACCATCACCACCATTATTAGACCATCAACAACATGACCAGCAATCAAGTCAGGAGAATGCTGCATTCTTGAACTACAACAACAACAACAATTATTACAATAATGATCCACCCACAACCACTACCAACCTAATGGCAGCAGAACCACCGTCCGATGATGTTGTCATGCAAAATGATTTCGCTGTGCCACCACCTCCAATTGTCAATATCAAAGTACCAGACGCTGGATCTCAACAAGATTCTCTTGCTTACGACAACAATCAACACGTTGACTCATTGATGGATCATCATGCCATTAACAACAACAATGAGGATGAAATGCTCGATAATTCATCATTATCTACCATGGACGACGAAGAAGATGATGATGATAATGAGCTCTATGATGACGAGGAGGAAGATGACTTGATGACAACCAATGATGAGGAAGGATATTTGTTCAATGTTCCCGACCACAATGAGAACATGATGGAGAGTGAGGAGCTTGTAGTGGACCCATCCACTGGAATGCCAGCTTTTCGAAACAAGAATGACAATGACTTTAATGTCATGAATCAACCAAACGCACCACAATCACCACCCGTTAATGATCTTGGTATAAACGTTCCACCACCACCATCTCCTCCTCCTGCCGATCAAAAGCCATTACCTGCAACAGATGCATCCACTAGCACCACCCCCTTACATCAACGTTCTTCTTTTTTCGGTGATTGGCGTCTATTGCTTGCTGCACTTGCATTGCTCGCAGTCTGGAAATTGATTACTGGGAAACCACGACTCATGGGAGCATCTACTAGGGTAACACAAACATGCATGATTTTTTTAAAAAAGGGTTGTTACTTATTACTACCTTTGCAGCTTTCCATTGCAGAGACGGTGGGTCCTCATCTCGAACGACGTAAGCAATTGATTCAAAAATACGAACTTGCTGCTGCTGCTCGAAGGATACCGGTAAGTAAGAAAAAGGATAAAGAAAAAAGAGTTGTCTTCTCACATGAAATGATGCTGATTTCCCTCGTGTTCGGCATGTAGATTCACACGAATGGTACGTAAATGGGAATGAAGCCACATACTCTATTGGAAGGGATTTCATACTAATGCTTAATTTTACAATCACAGACATTGCACCAAGGAAGGTTCCAAGTTTTGTGTTCCCCACTATTCCCGAGGAAGAGGATGAAGAAGGCTCAGCTTTTGACAGATCTACTCGACGCGTCTCCACGGGTCATATTCGACCCTCACCACCATCCATTCTCTTGGGTAATACCATGCCAGCTGCACGTACTTCAGGTAGCAATAGCAGCTTTCATCATTCACGACATGTCTCGTTCAGTGGCAAATTCAATTTATAACACTGTACTCATGCATATACATATGCACATTAATCATCATCATCAGCAGCATTCACCCCTTTCATCATTGTCCATGCATCTCTTCTCACCACCACCCCTGCAATTTCTCGATTGACGATTCTTGTTGATTCTCTTTTTGCATACTCAAGTCATACGACTTTTCACAACCCATCATCATCATCATCCTCGCTTCCCCCAAAAAACAATAAAAAAAGCATGTCATCTTGTACCTGAACCAAGAGAGCTCTATTGTTGTCATATGGTATAATGATAGAAAACATGCGTGAGCTTTTGTATCATGCCTTTGCTGTCATAGCGAGAATAAAGATGAGTATACATCCAACAGCGTTGATCAAATCACGTGATCAAAAAATTCGACGAAAAAATAAAAAGATTGAACCTGTTTTCAGCAGGTAGTCCTGAAGCCCAACGGGGGGGTCGAACCCCCAACCTTGAGATTAAGAGTCTCACGCTCTAACCAATTGAGCTAGCTAGGCTGTTGGACGTTTTCCTTCTTATTTTTTCACGCGCGCGGACATAGATATTCCACTCACCTTCCTAATTGGGAATACATCCTGTGTTTGGTCTCTATATACAACGGACGTGTAGAGGAATACGATGAAAGCATGTAGAATGCCGTTTGGGAGGTGTGGAGGTAGTAATTTGGATGCAAAGTGATTTCAATCGCACCATTGGACCAGATTTTGTAGCATAGTAAAGTCCGACATACGGGTTAAAGATCAAAGCAGGCCATCTCTGGACTTTTATTGTGATGGATAGATCAGGTCAAGGGCTCAAAGCGGTATGTCTATGTGCACCTATACGCACACAGTTGGATCATGGGGCTCTCTCATCCTTGTTTGACATTCTAAAAACCCAATCTGCCATATTGCACATAAACGTCTTTATTGTTTAGACTCTGTAGATTGGCGCAATTGACATGCATTTGCTTGGTGTTCATTATTTCATCCATAGATTTATTGTATGTAGACATGTTTTTCATCTCTAATCATCATCCTATCTTAACAATGACGCTTCTGTAATAAACATCAGGGAGCTATGTCTTCTTTACTTTACATACCCACGCGCCACGCATGATCTTATCCCATCACTTGACTCGTCCTATTGGAAAGCACCTTTGCACCTCATCGAACATTGTGCACTTGATGTAGACTGGCAACCTATGACTTGACATGCAGGAGGAAGGTTGTCACTGATCGTCTAGTTGATGGTATCCTCTGCAAAGACCGCGTTATCTATACCCCACAATCACAGCGTACCATTTCGCCATTGAGCATGCTGTAGCGACTGGAATGCCGAGCGACATGTGATTCTGATGGGACAATGTTGGTGGTGGACACGGTTGGGTTGGAGAATGATTCAAGTCGGGGGATCTTTATGCATAGCAACAATCACCTGGAAACACACCACATGAAGGAGTCATATGTCATATCATACGCAACCATAGGGCATGGGGCATTTATTCATAAAAGAGAGCTATTCATCACCATTCAGCATCTGCTAGTCTGTTTTTCTTGTTGGAAGATGAGTGACGAAGACGATGATGGCGAAAGTCAACGTCAACATCGAGGCAAGCGAGTGGGTGATTATTGTGATTCTTAGCGCGTACTTGTACTTTAAAGTGGGCCTAAAGAGAAAACAACAGCATGTGTTAGTCGTCTTCTTTTGAGAACATGGATGCTTTTATGTTTGTACCTTGGGGATCTCCTTTGGCAATGTGACCTTTTGCGTAACCTATGTTGTTGTATCGAACAACTTAGCATTCAACCCATAAAGTGTGTTGTTTTTATCATCATCACCTTGACAGGACCATCCATGATAGGGCATTGTAGTTCAACATCATTGTTGTCCATCTCTTCACAAATGTCAAATTCTTTCTTGAGAAGCTGCACAAAACCAAGCTTGACTAGAACATCAGCCTTAGCACCATAAGACACGGGTTCTTCAAGAAAGCCGATAGCTTCAATGGTCAAGTTGTCACCAGGAAGAGGATAACGAGGGGATAAGGTGATATCATAGATATCCAAGATATAGCTGGAATCACCTAGTATTAGATAGAGACAATGATCAATGACGAGGAAGAAAAAGAAAAAGATAGTGGTACTTTACTGCAATCATGAATCAAACTGGTTTCGAGAGGAGCTATTTGGAACTGATAAAGGTTTGGCTTGTATTTCTCGATCCAAGCTGACTTTACAGCACTTGACACGCTTGCAATGATGATGAGCCACGAGAGAAGATGAGTATACATTTGAAGAAGAAAAAGATGCAAGATGAATGAAACAAAAAGGAGGCCCACATTTATATATCTACCTTTGATGATGATGATGATGTTGAATAGCAAGATTGTTTCAAAAGTGTTTGGATGTATTGGGTGGCACTTGACATTGCACGTGTGACAAATCATTCTTTCTTGAATTGCCTTGCTGGTGGTGGTGGTGGTGGTGGTGGTGCTCCGCTTTGATACACAGCGCGTGCGGGTTGTGCCAAGCAACGGGGTAGTCTCTCTCTTCCTCTCATCTCACGACAAGAAGCATGGACGATCCCAACGCAGATACCGAATGGTAAATGGGACAACATTGGGAAGCGAAACGCATGCCGACGTCGACCTTTTAGGAATGACATTTTACGTGCCAAGGGCATCTTGCCTCCCAAGGAAGAACAAAGCAAGGAAGCCATTGAAGATATGTATGTCGAAGCACTGAATGCACGCAAGCAAGAAGAAGAGAGCTTGGAGAACAAGACATTGGATGAATTGGATGAGTTGGAAGACGAATTGGAGGATGATCGTATTATTATGGAATACAGGTACGTTACAAAAGGAAGAGGAGGAGGAGAGCTGTCAAACGTATTCTCAAAAGACGTAAACGTATGCTAGAAATGCAACAACAAGCAGAAAAGGACAAGTATGGCGAAGTGACTCAGATATCCAAACCTGATTTCGTCAAGGAAGTAACAGAAGCAAGCAAGGAATGTTACGTGGTGGTTCATCTCTTTAAGGATTAGTACGTATACAATGCTCATGATTTCCTCTGCTGGCATCAAGTTGATATTTCTCTCTTTATAGTATCCCAGCTTGCAAATTGATGAATCAACATCTTGCTGTACTCGCCAAGCAATTCAAGTCGACAAAGTTCCTCAAGATTGTCAGCGATCAATGCGTTCCCAATTATCCCGACAGAAACGTACCTACTTTATTAGTCTATGGAGATGGGGACATCAAGGCCAACATTGTTGGTGCTATTGCATTTGGAGGCATGAATATGACAGTTTCAAGTAAGGATTGGCTCAATGGGTAATATGTGGTATGATACATGGGAGCTCAAAGAGGTTTGAAAAGGTGTACGCAAGCAATTGGCACAATGTGGTGCAGTGCCACCCGAGAAGGATGAGGATCAGGATGGCGATAAGAAGAAAAAGACGATTTATCGATCAGCTGCCACTGCGGCTCTTAGTAGTGATGAGGATGATGAAAGTGATGATGATCGTGGATACTATTAATAATCGTATATGGATAATGGATACAATAAAACATGGGAGAGTAAAATGGTCATTGTGTCATGATGTTCTTTGTTTGTATGTGGTGGTGGTGGGCTGCATAACTGGATCGAATAAAATGGGTCGCTGAGAATGATGCACTCCACTCAACCCTTTTGTATCCGCCCAATGTTCCAATGTCCAATCGTGAAATGACAACGCCAAGGCGAGGAAGACCTCCAGCACCACACAATCGCAACCGCCAACGTAGTATCACTCGCGATGAAAGTAGAAACCAGCAACAGCCGAGTCAATGGCAACAACAACAACAACAACACACGACAAGCTCGCAATCAACACCTTCTCAATCGCGCTACAACTCAAAAGGCAATGGTAGTGGTGGCCATCGAGGCAAGTTGATACCTTCGACTTCAGCAACACAAAGTGAACAGCAACAACAGAGTGGCACCAATGAATCGCCTCATGTCCTTCTACTACGACGTGTTCTCTTTGACGAGGATGACATGCAACGACGTACCGCAGCGACCCAACAACTCATCAAGTCACTCGAGGAATCTTTACACCATGGCGACCCTACACAAATGCAATACGAGGGTATGCAGTTAGTCGACATGTGTATCTTGAAGCAGCCCAACATACGGTCTATCTTGGACTTGAATCGACCTCATAGCAGTGGTCTCAAAGCGGCAGCTGTCAAACTTGTCTCGACCCTGGCACTATGCTCATGCAGACTCGATATTATTTTCGTATGGATCTTTGACTATTTGCAACGCTGGACAGATGGTGATGATACCAACAAGGCCAAAGAATTCAAAATATGGCTTTTACGTGCATTGCGTCAGGTACCTGTCATGGTCATTGCATGTTCCTGGATCCTATTTATCAACATTCCCTCTCTTTTAGACTATTGCAGATGCTTCCAATGATCCCTATTGCAATCGTCAATTGTATGATTTATCACCCAACATTGTCGCCAGTGTCATCATGTTCCTCGATGCAATGGATACATCCGATTACCTACCAGAAGTCTTGCAAGTCATTCAAGTCATCGCATCAAGCTGTCCTGTGGCATTCTCGGATAAATTTCAGGATATGATGGATTTACTTGTTGGATGGCACATTGATCCCCATTTATCCGATCAAAGGCGCAACATGATATGTGGTATGTTGAAAGAGGAAAGGGATAACTTCTTGTTGGCTTATTAAAAGGGAAAAAAAAGGACTCTACAAGGAATTGCACGTGTTTTGGCACAACAGACTCCCTTTTGCATTCGAGCTATTGCAACATTTCCTCAGCGACATGCACGGTGTCATTACAGCCATTGCCTCAGAAGATGATATGGAGAGTGCTCAATCCAAATGGAATGTATGTGAAGGCTTCTTTAGGTAAATGCATTTTCTTTTGTTTCCCATGCTTGGATGCTTTACTTAAAACCTGTTTTAGTTGTTTCCATGGGATGCTTCATGCCATTGTGCCATTGCTCTCAACACCCGAATTGCGAAAAGATCTGCATTTGGTGAATCCACTCTTTGATCAGCTGCGATTGAATACACTGGAGTTCTTGATGAAAGCGAGGGAGCTCTCACCAAGTGAAAGGTGGATGGAAAAATGTAAGTCATGAGCCATTACCCAAAGGAAACCATTCAGCTAAAGAAGAAATACGCGTACATAGCAAACCAAGTGCTCTTATCGCTATTTGCCTCAAAGTCACAGAACATACGGCATTATCAGTGGCAAGTGTACCAATACTTTGCATCACAAGCAGTCAAAGGGTTGAATTCCAATCAATTTGCGTATCTGAAAATGCTGATGAAGGTAATGTTTCGAGCCACGTGTATATACATTGTGCTTCCAGACTTATTGTATTATGTGACATAGCTTGTGGATGAATGGGGTGTGGGAATTGATCAAGCTATACTTCAAGATATTCTCAACGTCGACACATCGCCACTCTTTCATTTGCGAGCAAAGTATCGGCACGACAAACAATTGAATTCAGGCACCCTTGTTCTATTACGTTCTCTGTTACGGTTATGCGCCAATGACAGTAGTATATGCCTTGCAATGACGAATGGATACACCAGCTTCTTTTTGACTCAATTGGCAACCATCAACAACGCCTATCAAGGACAAATCAATGATGCTCTCGTGTTGCATAACACACAAGAGGAACTCAAGACGTTTGATGGCACTTTTCCGGTTGATGTTCAAGGACCCGACAATGCGAATGTGACGGATGCTGTGGTGGATGCCTTGTTTATTGCATACCTGCTTTTGGATGCTGCTGCTGTATGGCCATCTTCTCGACGACATCATTTGCTGGTGGTGTTGCAGCTATTGACGACATCGTGGAAATGCAAATGTAGCGATATCTTTGATGCCGGCCTGCAGGTGGTGATCGAGTTTTGCGCAAGGTATATATATGATTGACTCGGCATGATTTCAAATGACTCATTTTCTTCCCCTAGTTGCCATTTTCTTGTCGACAACCACGATGAGCTTGATTTGATCAGCAAACTCTTGTGCGACCTCTTTGATGCTTGGTCAATTGTCAATCTGCGGTCCCGACAATTGCTGTGTCGATTCCTTGGAGGTGTTGTGGATAATCTCAAGTCATTACCCGATAACATGTCTGCTATTGAACCGGTGCGTAATGTTGTCAAGCATATGCTGCAATCCACAAGTAAGTGCATGGATGCTTATTGAAAGCGTCGTATTGATTATGGGGGTTATTATTAGGCATGGAGAAGGATAAGGCTTTGAGAGGAGATATGATACGTTTGGCTACCAGCTTTTGTCAAGCATTTGGCTCAACTGATCTCGTGGACCCTGCTATACGATTTATGTGGCGTGGGTATGTATATATATATATATATGTGAGTGTGTCGATTCACAGTAGCTGATTTTAACATTGATTTAGCTTGGATGATCCATCTCCCAGCATTCACAAAGCAACAGCTGACCTTGTGGCAGTTCTCAATCCATTTATTCTCACTGATACGCCATTAACCGAGACTAAGGAGAAAAACGCATTAAAGGTAAATGATGGATGGTCTTCAAAAGATCATGGTACTCAAAACCAACATAGAATATCGTAATGGCTACTCCGCACACAGGCGCATTTCGTCCAACGCACTTTGAAATTGTAATGATCAATCTTGGGATGGCTGAATACCTCGTTGGACCTCATGCAGGAGGCACGATCAGAGCGCTGGAGAACCCCAAGGAACAACAAACACCTTTTGGATGGGCCGAACGACTATTTTACCATTGCGATTCACTCAAAAACATGCGCAACGTCTCGACTTCGCCTGAGCTGAAAAGACGTAGGTTATGTTGGCTGAACACGTGCTCTTGAACGCATGTCTTATATGTCGCAATAGAAATGGAGCGTATGATACCATCCATCAATGATTCAAAGCAGTTCTTATCTTATTGGGCCATGTGGGAGTCCACTCGATACTGTATCTTGTCAAGATTACGTACCCCATTCGGAGGACCCGAGCACGTAGGTTATTGTTGGCATGGCTATATACATATACATGGATCTAATCTATGTAAAAAATAGACATTGGCAGCGTTTGAGCGTATGCTATCGAATATGGTGTCCGTGGACATGAGCCAACTAAGGTAAAAGAGCTATTACCAATGGCAATACCTTATATTCACTCTCTTTAATATAGAGATGATGCTTCTTATCGGACAAAGCTGGGAAATCTGTTGCTATTACTCGATCGGTTGGAAGTTCAAATCTACAATGCATCGGATGGCTGTGCAACGAATGCTTTGCCTTCAGTGCCACGATCCAGTCTTGCCTTTTTCAGAACCAACAAAAAGACTTGCAGGGATTACTATGCAAGGATTCGACCCAAGATCATTCAAGGCGCACAAATGATGCACGATGACCATTTGCTGATCCGACACATTATTGAAGTGAGTAGTCGATCAAGCTTTTACGATTATCTGCTAACCTCTTATTCACATACTAGGCTTTGAAAGAACGTGAAGCAGGATTACAGGAAAATGCAGCGACGATGGATATCGTGGTTTGGTTCAGTGAGTTTAATAAGCTCATGTGTGAATTTGGTAGGTGGACATTTCCTTTAGATAGCTCACAAAAAGTATTGACTCGCTTCCTTTTATTAGTTGTTGCATGCATCCACGTGGCTGCGGGTGATTTGATCAATGGAATCCAATCTTGGTACCGAAGACTTGTTCGCAAGATATCACATTTGAGACCTTCTTTTCAAAACGACTGGACTTTTATTGGGTTGATTGGTCCTATTGCACAAGGTATGCTGTTTGAGAAGGATCTTAGTCAACTAGCAATGCGTTAAGACAGAAATTTTAGATCAATCGTCGCCCTCTGGAGATCCTTGCAGCGTCACCTGGTTTCAAGTGGGTGCTATGTTTGCTTCGGTAGGTTTGATTCTTGGCCTCTCTCTTCATCTCTAGTCTTCTGATTTTTAATTCCTTTCAGGGGCATCACGAGCAAGCACTCAAAGCACTCGAATCGATTCACGTATACATGAGCCGAGATGATTATGGTATTCTGGATACATTGGATAATCAGGTTAGTAAGACTTTGGTTTGCGGAATCATGATTTTAACTGTTCACTGTATATAGGCTCTTGATTATTATACGTACCTTGAAGATTACGAGGCGATCAAGCGTGTGTATGGTAGCAATGGATCCATGTTTAGCAAGATTCTTTCAAGAGAGTTGATGATGTTTGCATCCCGTGATACCGATCATGATGCCGAGCCCACATGTAGCTTGGAGGATCTCTACTCGTCTATGCGAACGCTCAATGTTACTGACAGTCTTCAATTGGGTCGTCTTGTGAATTTCCAAAATTGGTTGAGCAGCAACAATGAACACCATGTGGCAGACACCAAAGCAAAGATTGATCAGCTCTTAACATCACGTGCAAAGCTTTCATTGGAAGGACCATTGCCTGCAAAGTGCAGCATTCTCGAGATGGAACTTGCTCAACACAAAAGCATTCTTCAGGATTTGAACAACTACATCCAACAAGCACCGCACATCAAACCCGCCTATGATATCCAAGCAACAAAAGCGTGGGGTCTTATTTGCAGCTACCTTGGGCGATCAAATGCAGTGGATGATACCATCTCGGCTATTCATTTATATGCAGCGAGAGCGGCTCGTAAACAACACAACCTGGATATTGCACACAAATGGTTGAGCAGTATTTCGAATGTTGGTGATACCAATTATGAGATCTTGTATGAGAATGTCAAGGTGCTGCTTTTGAGGCATGAAAGTCAAGCCAACGTCGAAGCGATGGGGCAACTCAACAAATTGATCATCAACCTCGAATCAACAACAAACGACTGTGAGAAACAGCCATTATACAGCAAAGCATGTCTCGCTGCTGCCAAACTTCTCAAGGATGAGAGTGACAGTGGACGCGATGTTGAGTTATTGGTCAACCAGATTGATTCATCATTGACAACAACGCCTAGCACCGATATCGACAATAGCATTCAACGCATACAATCGCCTTCTGATGAAATCATCCATACTATGCTCAACAAATCAATCAATGATGCCACGACCTACAGCAAACCGTGGTTTGTGTATGCAACTCATTTCTACAAGCAAGGATGGAGGATACTGGATGATCTTGCACGTGGTGATGCTAGCGTCCCAATTGTGTCATGGGCCAAGAATCAATTCCGTCAATTGATGCCAAATGATGAAAATAATGTCCAAACCGAAAAGGTAAGATGATGCGTGTATGTCAATGGGCGGTTTGATTAACATGATACATATTTAGCATCTATTTGGATTGATTCAAAAGCATGCTGGATCCACCCATCTCAAGGATGAAACGGCTATCAATCGTGCGTTGGATCAGATTGTGCCTGACAACAAGGATCAAGTGCTGCCTATCCTGGAAAAGATGTATGCATCAATTGTCGATACCTTCCGGTCATCTGTCAGTGCCTATTTCCGATATCTTTCCTTGGATGAAGAGACTCATCAAGATAAGGATGATTCAGAGGGATCCACGTCCATGATTATCACCGCTACATTGAGGTTGCTACGTATGTTGGTCAAATACGGCGATCCATTGCAAGACGTATTCTTTGAGCATATTGAACGCGTGCGTATTGAACCATGGAAACGCATCATTCCTCAGCTTTTTGCAAGGTTGAATCACCCCGCTAGCGTTGTTCAGCAAGTGATCGGTAGATTGCTCACAAGAATATGCGACGAGTATCCCCGTGAGATCATTTATGATGTCATTGTCAGTTCATCCTCTTCCAAGACCAATCATGATACCAAACATGTCCTCGCACGTATCGCCAACCGTATGATGGATCACAATGAAGCTCTATGGACATCAACACAGCGCATGGCAGAGGAATTGGAAAAGATTACGGTGCTATGGGAGGAACGATGGTCGTACAAGATTGCATCCCTGGCCTTCAATGCAATGGAATTGTTGGCCAAGCTCGATCAAGAAGTGGCACGGTTGGAGAACAACAAAGACAACATGACGCAAGAACAAATTGAAAAGACATTCTTCGAGAGTTACGACAGCGTTACCAAATTTTTGGTTACTTCAATCGAGAAGTTGCTCAACACCACTATCCTCGCCACGACAACCAAGACGATTCACGAGCAATGGTTCATTGATACGTTTGGAAAACAAATCATGCAAGCCTATGAGTTATTGCAGAAGCCGAAATCGATAGCGACGTACCGAGAGGGATGGGACATGTTTATTCGAGTAAGTTATGCGTGTCTATACCAAGTTTCCATTGTTACTTATTTTTTATATTAGATCAATCGTGATCTCGTTATTGAAACGCACAAAGTCCGTATTTTGGAGCTTGAACACATTTCACCTTATCTTGCATCGTTACGCAATACCGAGATTTGTGTGCCTGGAGTATACGACATTGACAATCCTTGCTTTATCGACTCGTTTGGATCCAGCGTTGTGGTGCTACCAACCAAGACCAAACCAAAAAAGCTTGATCTTTGTGGCTCGGATGGCAAAAAGTACTCGTATCTTTTCAAGGGCATGGAGGATCTGCATTTGGACGAGCGTGTGATGCAATTACTTGATACCGTCAATGGCCTCTTGAGTGAAGACAAGGCTGCAGCTTCACGTGATCTCAAAACAAGAACCTATGCTGTGATTCCTCTAAGTGACCATTCGGGTATGATCCAGTGGGTGAATGATGCTACACCACTATTTGCTTTATACAAGCGATGGCAGCGTCGGGAGCAAACCGCCCATGCATTGATTACTGCTACCAATGATCGTAATGCTGCAGCTGCTCCACCTGAAGAACAACAACCTCCTCAGCGTCCTACCGAGATGTTTATGGCCAAGATTGAACGTGCGTTGCGTGCTGAAAACTTGCGAATGACAACGAATAGACGACATTGGCCAAAGCATATCCTTAAAAAGGTGTTTTTGGAACTTGTCAAAGAGACGCCAGGAGATTTACTCAGCAAGGAAATGTGGTGCTCCAGTGCAGATTCGGTGGAATGGTTGGAGAAGACGACTTCATTTAGTCGATCGTTGGCGGTCATGTCGGTGATTGGCTATATTATCGGATTGGGTGATCGTCACTTGGATAATATGATGGTGGATTATCATTCGGGCGAGATTATTCATATCGACTACAACGTTTGCTTTGAAAAGGGACGACAATTACGTGTACCTGAACTTGTGCCATTCCGCCTCACTCAAAACCTCTTCCATGCTCTTGGGGTTACGGGTGTTGATGGTGTTTTCCGCACAGCTGCCGAAGAGACGTTACGTGTGTTGAGAAAACACAAGGAGGTGCTCATGACATTACTTGATGCATTTGTCTATGATCCATTGGTCCACTGGGAAAACGATGCAGGTGAAACCGAAGAGCGACAAATGATGGAATTGCAAGCCAACTTGGGTCTTGTTGCTGCTCGTCTTGGTAGGTCTTTTGTTGATTCAGAGGGAGAGAGAGATGATGTACTTATATATAAGTATAGGTGATAAGAAACTTCAACATGAAGAATACGAGCAACAATTGCCAGGGATTATTTCGAGTATACAGCAACAACTTCAACAAGCCATGCAATCTGAACCACAAAACGTATTGGATGAGACAAGTGATGATGATGGCGAGGAAGAGGATGATGTCGATGTCGCCAAGAGAAACCTATTAGCACTCACGGACGATTGCAAAGCCTGGAATATGAAGCACAAGAATGCATTGTTATCATTGATCAAGGTATAATTCTTTATTGCTGTGGGATCATGTCATGATGCTAACATTGAGTAATTCAATCAGGGATCAATTGCTGAATCTCTCATGCAAAAATCATCATTGGATACCGACATGGTTGCAACGCTAGAGCAGCTGGATGATGTGGATCTTGCAAAACAACTCTCGTCATGGATCAATCAAAGAGATGGGATTTATCACCAATGTATGGAAGAATTGCTTGCCTACAAAAAGCTCGTCCGCCCTGTTGCTGGAAAGTTACTTGATCATCAAGATTCATGTCGAGTTTGGAATGCTTTGCAAGATCTCAGTACACATTCTTTTGCAAAGGAGAAAATGGCACATATCCAACAAGTCTTGCAACAAGGTCATATTTCTCGTACATTACAAGCCTTACAGAGTCGTGCATTCAACTTTGCTAGCCACATATCCCAAACCGCTGATAAGATCGACGAAAACATCCAAAGACTCGATCCGCTGGAAGACATTGCTGTGATGGAGATAGAGGAGGATGCTACTGCTCAGCTACAAGAGTCATTGCAAGAATCATTCATCGCATTGGATGGTGCGTTCCGAAGATTGGATGTTGACGGCGATGAAAATACCGAGGAAGCAAATGCACACTTGGATTTGTTACCAGTTACGCTGCAAAGGGTTGAATCTTGCTGTCATCTCGGAAGCTTTGGTCAATCAACTTATATCCGTGGACTACTTGTATTGTCAGCTGCATTGGAAGGCCATATGGATCTTCTTCAGAGTAAGTTTATTGCTTTAGGTTTTACTATGTGCTGTGACTAATACCATTGTACAGCGTGTCTTGGGGACCAGCTATCACCGTACGAGACAAATGCATTGAAATCAATTGTACCATGTGCAGCTGCGCTGTTTAAGGTGGAAGATACATGCATGACCATTTGTGGCACGATCCTCAAGCATCTCTTGGCTGGTGGCGATCAGGGGCAAATGGCGGTGTTTGAATTACAGAAGGCGTTAATGCAAGGCACTGACAACATCCAGGTAAGCCTAAAAACAATTCGGCATGTCAACAAAGAGATGTAGCTAATAATTGGATAGTCGAATGATCAAGCGAATGCCCTTTACAAATCCATAATGGCATCTTTTGAAGCGATCGATCACTTTTGTTCAGTGCTCAAGGTAAAGACAATGGTTGCTTTTGATGGTATGTTGCCTGACATTTTGGATATAGGATACGCCACTGGATATTTCTATCGAAGATATGGATATGGCACTGGATACGTATGCGAACAACAAGCGACAGGTGAGATATTAAAGGTGTATTATGGAAAGAAGTACACAATCCTCACGCGACCTCTATAGCTCGTTTTTTGCATTTTGGGAGAGTGTGTCAAGCATGTGCAAGGTCTTCCAACGCAAGGGTGGACATCCTATACCATATCTTCTTGGGCAATGACGTACAATGCTTCTGTTGCAATGCATGCCAAGCAGCTATCAAGCACTGTTACCAGTTCTCTATTCCTTCCTTTTATCTCTGCATTATTACAGTCAATGAGGCAGCAGCAGCTTGGTCGCCGTTCTGATGAGCAACAACTGGATACAGAGCAGCGCACGAAGATCTCTCATCGTATACAGCAAGTGGTTGTGGCTCATGCAAGCAAGCGTATGATGGATATTGTATGTTTACTTTGACCTTTGATCCATGTCTATATATATTCTAACAGAGTATCTTTAGGGCTATGATATAAAGGCTGGATACAATACTTGTTTGGATATCTACAAAAGCGACATTGATCGATTCCTCTGGTACAATGCTCCCTACTTGCAAAGCGAGCGGCCTTTGTTCCCCAACCAGTTGCCTGCACAAATGGCGGATGGCCCAGAGCGTCTTCATTACCTTGGTAACGGTTTACAAGCCTTGAATGATGCGTTGTCACAATATCAGGCACCAGCAGTACAGCAGCAATGGCAGCAATGTCATCGTGCCGAGCTCGAAAAGGTAAAAATGACAAGCTATAGTTTACAATGGTTGCGATTAACACATGGTATACGTTAGTGTGCAAACCTTATGGACTTTTACAACGCGATCAATCACTTGGAGAATTGCAGAGAAGGATACACCCAAGCAATGATTGTCAACGAGTACATCAACAACCAATTGCAGACATTGATGGCTAATCATACAACGTATGTGTATACGAATGGGAACATGCTATTTTAGATTTATTGACTCTTCCCAATAGCGAAAACGGGCCAGCAGCTATAGCGGATGAGACATCACAGGTAAATCATTACACCATTGTGTGCATCTATATGTATTGGTTATTAACATTAGCTTTAACCAGCCCATTCCATCCGAGTCCCTTGAGGAGATCCGTGCGGGATTATCAAAGGTCAATGAGCTACTCGCAACTCTTAAATCGCCTTTGGATGGAATCGTTTCTTTATTGGAATCAATCACGATTATCGAAGTTGATGACAACAATGAGCTGAAACCGATTCACCAGAATGCAAAGGTTTGTATGAGCACAATGGTTCTTGGCATGGATGTCTTACATGTACCGCTTTATAGGATACCCTGGATCAATATCATGCGATCAAATCGAGTCTAAAGAGTATAAGCAAAGCAAGGCATGGGGATAATGATTGGACGTATTCGAGTATGGTATGTAGTAGTAGCGTGATCAGTGACACAAAGGCAGCGTGAACTTATGCTATGTGTGTGTGTGCGTGTGTGTAGAGCAAAATGATCGCTGAGATGGGTGAAAGAATCCAAAACTTGTTTGCTGCTTTCCGTGCACTCGAAGAATTTGGATTGGAACGTCAAGGTGACGAGCAAAAACAGGCATCAGAGCCACATGAAGGAGGTCATACGACTAGTCAAGCTTTGGAGACAAGCAGCCTATCGAGCCCCGCAGGAGGTGAAAAGTCAAATCAACGCCGTTACTCGGATGCAGAAGCTGTTGATACCAACCATCAAGGTAGTTTAAGATTTCTTTTTTTTCATCATTCGCAATGCTCATCTTTCGTGTTAGAAACCGCCTATACGAGTGCAGCAACACAGCGACGCGATGCACAAGTACTTGGTATCATGAGAAGAGTGCGCTCCAAATTGGAAGGAAGGGACTTTGGCGTGCAACACAAAATGAGCGTGCATGAGCAGGTAAGGAACACGTGATCTTATAGAAGCGGAACTATCGAGGTATTAACTTTTTTGATATCAAGATTGCCAAAACAATTGAACAATCATTGTCAGTGGATAATCTTTGTGCCATGTATGAAGGCTGGACGAGTTGGGTATAAGCAAGATACGCGAGCAAGATGATATTACTTTTGACAACACACAATGAGGAGGAATGATGATGATGCCTATTCAACACACACACACACGATACGCGAGGCCACTACCCATGGATCTTGCAGACGTTGTCACATCCCATGAATCCTTACTGGAAAAGAAAAGGGAGATAGGATACATACATAGCACCTCCTATTCCGTTTTCGGAAGAACAAGCATTGCTGATGAATAAACGGATTATATTATCACAAGATCAATTTTCACACATGAGACTAGCTGATCGGATTTCTGTATTATCCAAAAAGTTAAGGTTTTGAAGGCGAGTGTATAGCTCGGGATGATGCTGGAAATGATATGCTCTTGATAACACTTGGAATGTAAGTACATGTTTGACGATCGATGCTAGTGACGATTTTACTTTAGTAAGGCCACTCTCTTTCATTTATGTACTCTGCTTGTTGAGCTTACCCATGGTGCGAAATTTGTTATAATTGACAAGCTGTGTAGTGAGTCTTGCGCGTAAAAAGCTGTCGTCGTCATCATCTTGATCGGGTGGCAGTGGTGATGGAGATGATGGCTGATGATGTGACAATGCGATGAAGTTGGGTAGTTCCGAATTGAATACAAGATCCGATAAATACAATCCAAGAAATGGAATACATCCACGATGATTGTTGGTGACATCCACACGACTTTTTGTAAGAACGCTTTCGACCGCTGATGATTCATCCATTTGTTGAATAGCTTGGCTCATTGCATGGCGTACGCTTTTCCAGTTTAAAAAAGGTTTGGCTAATTCCTTAAGTTCACCAAAGACCTGGAGCTCGTAATGGTCAAGTCGTTGCCACGTGCGTTCAAGACGAGAGACAGCGGGTGATTGAAGGCCCAACAAGATTTGCATCAAAGTACTGTAGTTGCGATGATGGAAGCATTTCTAAAAAGTGGCTCGAGTTAAAATGCAAGCTCTCCCATTTTGCTGATGACATTTACCAATGCAATACGAATATACTTTTCAATGACACGTATACGCGTTTCAAGTGATCGTGTTTGCACAATTTCGGATGTGATCCATTGACAGGTCTGAAAGTGGTATTAATAAAGGCTATGATGCGTATTCACTCTCCTCTATACTTGCCATGTTGAAATAGCTGATCATTTGTTCAACACCACATCCTTGTTGTTGTCGACGCCATAACTCGGATTCATCATCCAAAAACCTCTTTCCAGCGTTGCGATGCTGCTGTTGGTTCTTCCTCCATCTTAACTCGACAAGTTCATCCCATGTCACGTTTTGAAGCAGTTGTTGTTCAATGCAACAGAATTGCTGAGCAATGATTTCTGATCGATATTGTAATATAAATGGCTGATATGAATCGGGTGATCGATGATGCATTGGTGAAGGAGAGGGCGTTGAAGGAGGAGGTATGTGTAATAAGCATGTTGCAGGGTGAACCGATGATTGTGGATGTTTGAATTTGCTTTCATGTTGTCGTTGCTGTTCATGTAAAGGTCGTTTCCCGGTCCAGCACATGGATCCTCGTTGCTTTTGTATTTCATTCTCCTTTATCATTGAACATTGACAAGCCGCATCCATGTCATTTCCACGACTCGTTGTAGGATGGTGTAAGCCGTGCCGTATCGAGTTGTACATGGTGGGTACTGATCTTTTGATGGTCTTGAGACTGAAATTCATCTTGGCTGACCATGCATTGTTGCTGTTAACACTGCGATGAGATGTTGATGATAGCCTTCGTCGACGTGTCAAAAAAGGCAATGCTGGTGTGGATATGGAAGGTTTCAATTGTTGTGGCGGTGCAATACCAATGGCGCTATCTTTTCGTGAACCAGCACGTGATGTTGAATGCCAAGCATCATTACTACTGCTATGATACGAGGTATCCGAGCGTTGCGTTGGAAACGGTATCCCTGACGACTGTGTTGTGAGCGAGTCAAGATTGGATAAGGAGGATCGTACTGATAAATCGCCATGTCTGTTTGCGTTATTGTATAGCTTGCGTTGTCGTTTGAATAAACTTCTCAAGTTGTTGATGATTCGTGAGTCTCGTGGTGAATTGACAATGGCTGGATGCGTACGTAGTTGGGATAAAAAGGTGGATAGCATGAAACGCAATGTGCGGGAAGTGCCGAAATCGTGTTGCCAATAATGGATCATCCAGTATCGGATCACTACAAATGTGCTGTATTGCATAATGAGCGTGCGTGTATTGGGTTTTAACACGTGTTGCATGCAGCAGCGTTACCGAATTCGAACCAAAAGATGATCATCTGTGCTTTGAAGAAGAGCCCATCGAAATCTCAGAATCAATAGCTTGCATAGTTTGATATGCGTCAAGAATTGTCGATATGTCAAGAAAAAATCCATCATGAACTCTGAATCTAGTAGTATCCATGGCAAAGTCAGCCATCATAAAAAGCACAGCCATCCTCATTGTATCTTACCCATCTCGGATGTAAGCTTTTCAACTAGTTTTTCTGCCGTAGCTGATGTCATGATATGGTCTTTATCATTGCGTCGACTAAACATGACGAATTGGCTGGAGTTGTTTGCAAGCAAATCAAACACGTGCGGATCATTCTCAATGGGTGGTGTCGGTGGTCGTTGTAATGTTGTCTCATTATCATCTTCTGCATTCAAGGATGGCGTTTCTCGTGCTGTAGAATCCTCTACGCCCACCCATCCAAGGGATACATGTTCATGATCAGGTTGATTGGCAACAGCAATGATGGCAGATACAATTCCTTTTGCTTTGTCGTCATGATGATGATAACGATTGTTGTGTATGGGTGTAGATGATCGACGACGTGAAAAGGAGGAAGCAGGAGTGAGTGTTTGTCGCCTAGTAAACATTTTTGAGAGTTTACTTGATACCGATGTTGCTGAAGTAGGGGTTGATGATGAATCGAGTGGCGACGAACAAGGTGCAGCAGCAGCAGCAGGAGCAGGAGGAGGAGGAGCAGAAGGAGAAGAACGAGGAGGAGGAGAAGGGAAGCAAGATAAGGAAAGTTGACTTGGGCGTTTTGTTGGTTTGGATAACTTTGGTGGATACACAACGGCAACATCAGTGTCTGATTTAGGAGAAGGAGTTGTTGTGGTGGCGGTGATTGCTTGCTGTTGCTGCTGCAGAACACAAGAAGGAGTAGGAGATGGAATCGAGACATCTGCATGAACATCCCGTGATAAACATGTACTACCATATCCCCATTAGCCTCTCTTGTCAATAGGTGAAGCTACTCTACTTACCTGATATTATGATCACATTGAGTATTCGATGTAGTAAGTCTCCACCCATAGATCGTAGCAAGTCGTACACATTCCTTATTGCCGGATCCACAATAGGATGAACTATGACGACGCCGTGGCACTTTGCTCAATGAAGGACAAGATATCGTTGGATGATCAAGCGTGAATGAAACCACAGGTGTTGTTGGTGCCGATGCGTCGCTATACTGATGCAATTCGTCCTTGCATTCCAATGGCAATGGCGTCCCATTGACAGGTACTCGTTTGGTCTTTAGATCGCCGAGTGATTTCGAACGTCTCCTGGAAATAGGAAGAAAGTGAATAAAAAGGAAAATGAATTGAGCACCTTGATATACTTTAGCTGAAACGCCGCTGGTGGTGTCGTGGATGCTATTGTGGACATGATGTTATGGCTGTGGTTGTTCCACAAGGAGGAAAGCAAAGTGGTTGTGAATGTTGCGTTGACAGCGTTGAGAGGAAAGAGAAGGGTCCTGCAGTAAAAAGATAGCTGCAAGTGGTGATCATGTCAAGCGGAAGGGTGCACAAAAATGGGCAAGAGTGGAAACGATGCACTGCTGCACGCACGATGTGCACACGATAATACAGTGCTACTTACATACATACATACAGCACTCTTGCTTGTCGACCAACAAGACCATGACGATGGTGGAATGACTATCTCCTTGGTACCTTCATCCCTTGACACCGTGTTCACAAATTGTGAATAGAACCACACACTTTCTTTTTGACTCCATGACAGCGTCGTGCCATTCCACATACCCCACAAAAAAACATGCGTGTGCGTGTGTGAGTGTGAGCGTGTGATTGATATACAATAATTATCCCATTTTTGCCACCCATCATACTATATCTTCACAACCTCCTCGTTTTTGCCATATTGTTATTAATCAATTTATTCTACAACTTGTATGATCGTTAAGCTTGTAAATGCTAAGGACCTAGTTTAAAGCTTGTTACATAGGCGCATATACGAAGATGCATTAACATCATGATACAAGAAAACGGGTCGTGGCTACAATGGGGGTGGTATCCAGGGATTTGGACATGGTTAGTTAAGCATATATGCTTGCTTACCCCTTTCCTCCTTTCATCCATGGAATCAGGTCATCAAACTTTGAAAGGATCCCATTCTCATACTCTGAAAAAGGAGATAATCAAAAATAGCAAGAGCTCGTTTCGTGCGGAGACAATCTTTGTTTGCTGCATGTTAACAGGAAGGCGTTTCTTCTTCCCGGATGAAGAATGACGCTATGTACCATCATCACCGTGCGTGCTTGGAGTATCGTGAATAAGAGGTAATAAACATGTACGTGATCACTTCTCCTTTCCTATATATCCATTTTGCAATATACATTTATTCTATCGTCTTTTCTTGTTGACGTTTATTCACTCGGTGATGTTCAAAGTCGATTAAATATTACATACGTTAAAGACCGATAGACAAAACAAAGTTGTACCAAGATGTCTAAAGATAATGAGCTATTACGGATTGTGTTTCCAAACACCAATGTCATCATGCAAGGTCTGTTACACGTTGCATGCGAGAGCTGCAAGGAGAGCACGTGTATAAAAAGCATGTACAGGACACTGCGTCTCTTGGCTAATGTTCATTTGTGTGGAACACTTTTACTTGTCGCGGACGGACATCTCGGTAGTCTCGATGATGATGAATGCTATCTCTCTCTCAATCCAATTGTATGGGCGCATGGTTGTGGAGAGCAACTTCCAGATTTTTCTTAACTGCAAGCCCATAGAAAGCGTTGCCTAGGAAGGAAGGGAATGCATCATTCTTTGAGATCCATCTTCAGTGATATCATTATTGCGTTGGAACGGGTGATGATTCCTATAGATGCAGAATGCTGTATGTAATGAGACATCATGATCATAATGATTCTCGACTTTGCAACATGACATGAGCAATACATGCATCATCCTTTAAGCAAACAGAAAGCTGCTGATAGTGTAAATGTTTATGATGCAGAGTCCATCAAGCCGGTAACCTAAATCAGATTTCACCGGCATACACGCTCAAGCAACATCCCATTCATATGTTCCAATGCATGCTTCTATATTGTCGAGAACAAAATACCAGTGGAAAGATGTGAGGTTGCACGTGATCTTTAAGGGGTTCATTCTCTAAAGGACGGTGAGATTGACCATCCTTATTGCTCAACTTTTGGATCTTTGGTAACCTTTGTTTCAAATGGGATCATTGTCTTGTGGAGCACTTTGATAATAAAGGCTCCGATTTAGATCGATGCTTCGTCAAAGAGCACCAGCTGCATATTGCATAGCAAGCATTGGGGAGCTGTGAGTGCCTTTAAAATGTAGAAGGGGACGTCTATTAGGTGCACATTGACTTTGGTGCAAAGGGATGGTTCACCTTGTAATGTAACTTGTAGTAGTAGTAAACGTTGTTGTTGATATGTAAAATGTTCATCGTAACGATACAACTCGCGCATCCATCTTCGTCGTCAACATGGTCCATTTTCTGTGCCTATTTCCTCTTTTTCTTTATTGCTGACGATTGGTGGGAAAATTAATAAACGTTGAACGGCAGGTCTTTATGCTGCTGCTGTTATTAAAAATTGCCAATCTAAAGTGGTACAATGAAATGCAAACAACAACGACCCGATGAAATGCATGACAAAAGTCGAGAACACCAGCAGCAACTCGCTTTGGAACACAGTTTGAGACATTGCCTTGCGTACTTGAAAAGTATATTAGATCTCAGTGTTGCTGTTGTTGATGGCTTCATACGCACACGCTTTGAGTCAAAGTGCTATTGCACCCCATACAACAAAGATCTAATTATGCAAGACACTTCTTTTTGAAAATGGCGGGCGGGTGCGTACGTGTATTTTAAGGAAAAGAATGAAAGGGAAGATGTAGGGAGGTAAGTAAGCAGCTCATGAACGTTTTTTTTAGCACTTGATTACGCTAATGAACCTAGTTCCGATCGTAGGGCGGGTCTATGAGGTCGATTTTCTGCCAAAAAGAGAGCTCCTTGAATGTAGATATCCTTTGCATAATGATACCATCCAATACAAGATGACTATGAATGAGCATAGGGTGAAAGAAGTATGATATGAAATAGCCTGGGATTATGCAATGATGGCTGAGCAGAATAGGAGGGTGTGGATGGATCTACAAAGCGTTCATTTTCTGAAGCAACGACTTCATTAAAGTTTGTGCAACGTGGCAAAAAGTCTTTTTGGCTCATTCGCCCCTTGCATCCTTGTTTCCTTTTCCTCTTTCTTGCATCGTCTCTTCTTTACTCGACTTTTTGTGTGCTCCACTCGCACTGGGCAACCCCATTTTCCAATCCTTTTATTTTGCTATACGAGCAAACAGATCCCCAAGCCATTCTTTTTTTATTGTACCTTGTCTTTGAAGGACCCCGCAACTTTCCCTTTCTCTCTCTCTACTACTCAATTGACCCGTGATGCAGGACACATCAACTGTTGCCATTGTCGCCATGTTGGCCTCGATGGCTGCTGTGACGAACCAGGCGTACGCTAGCCCTTGGGTTCCAGATTTAATGATTCGGGCTGAGCCCTCTGATGAATCCAGCGCCAAACCTGAAGGTGAGTATTATAAAGTACAAACACCTCCCCCCAACAATAAGCATACCTTGTTCCCCAACTAATCAATACCGTTCATAGAAACAAAAAAGGATGAATCCAAGAAAGAAGAACCCACTTCATCTGAAAAGAAGAATGATCAATCACCTTCATCCAAAGCGGACGATAAGCCAACATCTTTTGCCAACGCCAAACCTACCAGCAGCAGTGAACCAAAAGATAAATCGTCTTCAGAGAAAAAGCCTGAGCCAACTTCATCTTCTAAAAAGGCTGAACCAACATCGAGTAAGAAGGATGACAAGAGCAGCTCCTCCAAGGATAATTCATCATCGACTTCATCGCATCATGGCTTTGTTGCCCCATCCACCGAGACACCTAGCAGCAGTGGTAGCAGTACTGGTTCATCAGCTTCGAGTAGCAGCTCATCTGGTTTTGTCGAATCTGGCAACAAACAAAGTGAATCTTCGGGTATGTCAGGTGGTGCCGTTGCTGGTGTAGTCATCGCTGTACTCGTGGGTGTAGCTGCTATTGCTGGATTTGTAATCCTTCGTAAACGACGTGCTCAAGCTGCTCGAAATCGTGCTCAACTCAAACCTGATCCATTCACTATGGGCTTTGGTAGCCATGACCCACCACCACCCCACACGGCTTATAACATGGCAAGCACCACACCCTCTCCCATGATCCAAATGCCCACATTAGGTGCTGGTGCTGCCGTTGGTGCTGGTGCTGCAGCTGGTGCTTATGCTGCTACTCACAACAATGACAACAATTATGGCGCTCAATTGCATGATGCACCTTATGGCGGCACTCAATTACAGGATAACAGCCCAAGCTATAGCGCATACAACACTCAACAACCTTATACTCAGGACCCAGCAGCATATAACAACAACATGCAAGATTATAACAACACCGGCATGCAACAACAACAACCAGCAACATACGATTATGGCAACACTGCACCTGCTCTTTCTGTAAATCAAGCTGCTCCTGGTACAGCTGTATCTGATGCTCCTCCTAGTCTCAGCCCAATTCCATCTCATACGGATGCATTCTCACCTGCCATGGCAACCACTGCCGCCGCCGGAGTTGCTACTGCTGCTGCTGCTGCCACAACAACAACAGCTCCATCCACTTCACCCATGACAACACCAGCAACACCAGCAACAGTTCAGCCATCTAATAACTCTTTGGGTGTCTTCACTGTGATTTCGACGTATACACCAACACTCAGTGATGAGTTGGATATTCAACCTGGAGATCAAGTTGAAGTGCTTGTTGAATACGATGATGGATGGTGTCAAGGTGTCAACTTGTCGCGTGGTGGTACCAAGGGCGTTTTTCCACGCCACTGTTGTAACGAACAAGCTACCTCCAGCGGCAACGAACAATCCATGAAGCGTGTCAGCTCGATGATCGTTGATCAACAACAGCCACAGCAGTAAAAAACCTTCTCTTTCCCTTACATGTTATACTAGATTTTCTCGTACTCGCTATTTATTATCAACCACCCATCCTATCACCATTTACTCCCGCTCACCAGCATACATTCTTGTACCTTGTGCTTACAACGTATCCTTTGTTTCGCCCACCATCCCCTTTTGTTTCCATTCGATCTCTTTTTCTTATTCTTACATATCTTGTTTCTTTAACGAATACACATTGCACTTTTTTATACACGAAAATAGCTGATATGGGTATACAATGAAGGAACCGAATGCTTTCCAACAGCTTTCTCGGCTATTCTCAAGCTTCGTCTCTGTTGATATTATCGTTGAAGCGTGGATTGTGTGCAGTCGTGTAGGTATGCTGTAAAGGAGTGCAAAGTAAAAATGGCCACGATAGGCAAGGCTAGCGACGAGGTCTTGATGGAAACAAGAGTCTTTTAGCCCCTACACTCAAAGTCTCACACTCGCTTTTTGTACCATGATATCTCAATAAAGTTTATTTATTGGGGAGTACTATTCGTTGATGATATGTGTGTGTGCAAATAATCGGTAAGATATTTAACAATGAGCAAGTACGATCGTTAGAGTGAATGTTGACGAGGCAATGATGAACCATTATTATGATGAGGGAGGGTGATCGTTTTCCTTAACCGCTTTTACGCAACGCATCCAACCCATCATCTAGCTCCTCCTTTGCTGCAGCTCCAAGCCCATAGTTAGCGGACAATAACATGACTTCAAGCTTTCGGCGTAATGCTGATGGTGTATTCTGCAGCCGGTTGAACGATAACATACGCCGCTTGGATACATGACGGGATCCATGGCAACTTCCGATAATGTGAGTGTGAGGGCACATCATGTCGTTTGAGTGACAATCTTTTTCAATTCAGCCATAGTTGTTGTTTCTCCCTCCTTGCCCTATTGTTATAACTTGGTCATTGCGATTGAGCTTTAAATGTTTGGTTTTATAGCGATACTCACCTCGTCATTATTGCCTCGGCTTATATCAGTGGATGCCATGCTCTACCTATTGTGCGCCATGTCATCAAGGTCGCGCTCCTTCACTGGAAAGTCTTGTGGTGCAGCTTTCAATTCATTGATGAATGCCTTGATTCGTCTTCTGACATCGGACTTTGCACTACCATGAATGAAAAAGTAAGAGTTTGAATAATCACATCAAGAATTAAGCTCACCAGTTACATGCCATGCATATCATTTGCATCACCTGACCTTTGTCTAATGCCGATAGATTTGGATTCCTATGGAAGCCGTCAAATCACCACCATGGGAGTTGGGTTGGTTCCCCTGCTATTTGCGCCATGTCAATTTCAGCACTCGACGTAGACCATGGCACCAAAATCAACTTTCGGAAAGATAGCTATATCGAAAGTAACAACGTAGCGTGTATGAGTAGTGACCCATCAAGCAACATGATCATGCTTTACCTCGTTGCAAGAATACAACATCGCAATACAATGACAATGAGAGTAGGATAAAAATAAAGCACTATGAAAGACCACAAAAGATCAGCACTTCATCTCCACAAAGCTTGTAAGAAATGGAATACGTACAAACCTTAGAAATTTGACCTTGTAAGCAATCAGAGAAGTGGAAAGAGATGTGTGGGAGTATGGTGGGCGGCGACAACAACCTTTTATTGTGCATAGTGGGCGTGGGTATTGTCTATTAGGGATGATGCATTGATAAATTGATGCGTGAGCTGATAAAGTGAGGGGACGCATGTACCAGGAATAAGTGTGAGGAGCCTAGTGCAATG